CAAATATGTAGCATCGAATAGCAGTGTCACAGACGAGTGATAAATTGGAAAGGATTTGCAACTGACCGGGGCTTAATCAGGGAACAGCCCGGGTCAGTTGCCCTGAGAGATAGAGGGAACCTACGAGATGCCTCACAACAGCCGGTATACCGGCCAGGACTCGAATCGATTGCCTCCCTAATATGAGTTTAGAACGTTACTGTTCCTGTCTCGTGTACTCTGTCTTTAATTTGCTCCCCTCTCCCGCATTGTAAACCCCTGAAACAGCTCTACAAGATTCCTGATCCTCTTATAAACTCCATTCATTTCTTGACGCTTTTCTGTTGTTGAAGAAACAAAGGACATACAACACAGAAATACGTCCTGGAATTGTCCGAGTAACAAAGGAACAGCGTGACGCGGTGCGTCAACCTGTTCGTGATCAATGTCCACTGTAAAGAGCACTGTATTCTGGGATATGACGCCGTGTAGTGTGGTAGATATTTTTTCCGTCGTTTCGAAGGAACTTACTGCTGGTTGCTTGCTGTATTTACTCTTCTGGAAGCATGTAAGCCTACATTCCAATTTGATACTTGTTCCTGGTTGATTGCTTGGGATATTCCTGGATCATGAAGACGGAGAAAGATATTCCTCCGAAAATTTCTTCCGGACTATAGAGCGTCACTTCGCAGAAATTATATAACCTTCATAATTACGGCCGTTTGAACTGAGAACGTCAGGAATTGCTCCCGGCTCAGCTGTCAGCAAGACAGGGAAATCAGCAGTCAATTTATGTGACCTTCCTATACAATAAATAATATAGAAAAGTTTAAATATTTAAATAGGCAGGATTTTTGAACAACATTTATGGACCGAAAAAATATTGTCACGTATATCCGGTGTAACGTGGGTAATAACAGTGGATTCTAGATTTGGCGACTGGATTTACTTTTACCCCACTATTACAATTACACTCGATTATAACAGTTCAAACATTTAACTCTTCTGGATAAAGAATCCCTCACTGTTGTCTGGATCTTGCACCTCTGGCCTTCCGGAATTCACTCGTATTCTGCGTAACCCTGCTGGTTCACTGCCGACTCACTTCTTCTCCTTCTTCTTACTTCGCTACTGTTACTCTGCTTCTGGTTCTAAGTCAAAGTCAAAGTCAAAGTTACTTTACGACTGAAGGTTTACCTCCATTCATTTCATCTTGGCGTCAGACCCCTTGAGACCCACGACCAGATTTTTTTTTTAACTAAATTCTTGTGGTAATAGTCCTTATGTAACATCCTCTCTGACGAGAAGATGCGTTTCAGAGTCAAAGTCACATTGCGACTGACGGTCAGGCAGTCAGTAAGTCTTGATATCGAATCCCATCTGGGGCTCAGGATCAGATAGTTATTTCTGTTTGAGAGTTACGGTCTTGTTTTTCTGTGGCGCCCTCTCTGACGAGAGAACGGGGTTGTCGTTTGTGTATGCTGCTGGGCCTTCCCAGGGCAGTCATTCTAGAGTCCGACTTCCTTGGGACTCGCGACCATATTTTACTGTCACAGATTTGAGACTTCCCTTTTCGTCGCCTCCTACGAATTGCAGGGTCACGGTGGAGGTATTCAACCCCGCCTCCACACGGGTTTCCACGAATGCATTCTGTTTTATATCTACTAGGCGTACCGAATGGAGGACATCGAGTCGAATAGTTAATTTCTCCGTTGTCACGAAAGCGACCGCTCAGTTGCTGTGAGAACGAACTTTTACCTAGCCGTTGCTCAACAACTGACTGTTCCAGCTGGTCGTTACAATACGTGTATCAACAAGCCGTTACCGAAGCAATGGGTTGATGTCACAACATTATTGACGAAACCACGAGAAGAACACATTTATGGAAAATTCTCATTAATACGTGACGTGACGTAGGCTGATAAATATTTACCACTATTTAGGAAGAAATTTTGTAATATTCTCTCAGAATAGAAGGAGTCATCCCAGAAGATTCTATAAGAGAAGACCTGGCCTGAATAAGGCTGTAACTTCAATAAAACGTAAAAAAAAGAAGTAAAACTATCCCTGTAACAGGCCGTGAAGGCCCAGAGTGTTGTGAGACGTTGAGGTTCCCACATTATCTAGACAATCGGCTCAAAGATGCCGGTAAGGTTGTCAGCCTTACTCGCCGGCCGCGCTTTAATCCCCAAGGCCATAATGTTGCTGGAAGGATTAGGTCAACTGAAAACAATTCAATGACCTCATCGTGATTTGAACCCGCGACCTTCCAGCTTGTATTATAGTGCCTCAACCAACTACGTTACAGCAATAATAATAATTATAATTATTTATGTGCTGAGTCAACAGCCACAAGGCCAATCACAGACAACACTGTATAGATACAGATAATTACATTATGGACAAACATAAAATCAATGACAAATCATAGTCAAACACTGGAGGAAACAACACATTGATACAGAAAGTAAACAAACAAACAAACAAACAATGAGGAGTGCTAAAAAGAACATGATAACTAAGAACTACATAACACAGAACATTAGGAGTAAGAACAATTTTAGGTTAATGAATTTAAATATGATTGAGGGAAACGACCCCAACTGCAAATATATCCAGATCTTTACCCACCGCTTTAGTAATATAGGTGCACCGAGCAGAAGGACAGTGTTTATTAGAGGGACAAACACCAAACAATAAGAGCCCCTAACAACAATAATAACACTGTAATTCCTTCGGATGTCATGTACAAATATTGTGCATGCGACACTCTAACCTTTAGGAGTGCTGGCTTGGGGGTCCGTCCCATCGGACGTTTAATTCGGAACGACCAACCTCTCAATTACGAGCCTGTTTGGCTCCTTCACGACTCTCAACTCTAGCATGTAATTTGATCATAAATAAATAACAAAAGACTTGGAATGTTTCACACACGCGACATTTGTTTAACGCCTTAGAGAAAGACCACGCTTTTCTTTCCATTACGTTAGTACTGCTCGTGAAATTATATGAGAATTTTCAAATTTGAATGTATTCAAACTACTTCATTGCACTTTTGTTAGCTCCAGAACTGAAGGACTCCTGTGGCCTGTTCATGAATATCTGAACCCCACTGTTCCTCAACCGATATTGGACGTCAAAATAAATGGAGCTTTATTAATTTAATTTCGGCAGACTTTTACCAGCTTAACCGGAAGATGATATCACGTTCGAAATTAACTTTGTAAGACTTATCAGAAACAACTCATCATGCAAACAAAAATTTATATATTTCAGAAAATATAACTTCAGTAAAAAAGGTAAAGTTAAAACTGTAAGAGGCCATGGAGGCCCATAGGGTTGTGAGACGTCGAGGCTCACACATTTTTCTAGACAATCATCTCAGTGATGGCGGTGAGGTTGTCAGCCTTACACTCCGGCCATCCTTTACCACCAGCAAGATTCCTGGTACTCACTTTTGTTTGAGGTTGAGTTGACTTCAGCGCAGTAGTGCGGCTGGAGGGATTAGGTCGATTGAAAAATCCAATGACTTCATCGGGAATGAAACCCGTGATCTCACGGCTTGTAGCGTAGTGTCTCAACCAATTACGTTAGGAGGCATTTGTTTCGCTTGATTCAACCAAAAGAAAAGAAAAAATGCTAGATAAATTTATCAATTTTCTTACTTGTTGAGAGATTAAAAATAACGTTAGTTAGTTAGTTAGTTAGTTAAAACGGTTATGATGATCAACATAATAATTAAGGTTGTGGGTTGGCCAATGAATTTGCAGTCTGTCGAGCCGGACTTAGCATACTTTTTCACGCGATGATGATAATAAGAGTAGGAATGAATATTAAAAATAAACGAGGGGGTGCGGAACGAACAGCGTGAAACGCTACACCGCTGTATTGGAACAGTGGCAAGCGGCTGTATGAACTAAAACAGGCTCCCCCACTCCTTTCGACACTCACGGAACCCACTCCTACGCCTACAGCTGCTTGTAGCACGACTCAGCCAGCCCTGGCACTTGTTGGGGTAGGTTGGACACGTAGATTTCAAATATAGAGGCACCTAGTTGGAATCTCGTCCGAGTTACTGACTATACCGAGTTATATCTTATGTTACCTTTCTTGGTGTTTCTAAGTTTATACCGAGATAATATATGTATATATTTTTTTTAAATTGACCACGATATATTCCTTCTAAATCCTTACATATCAAAGAGCTTACTCACAAACATGTTATAACATTTGGCGGAAAATAAATTCAGCAGTTGAAACAGACTCGTCAAATAACCAAAAATCCAAAGTTGATCTTATCACGCAGATGATTACGAAGATGACACTCTTCTACTATGTAACACCGTGTAGTCTGGTAGATATCACCAAAGACTTTGGAGAAACGTTTAAGATTACTTTGAAAATGGAGGTAGCAGATTCCACCGAAACATTGGTAACAATCAACTAGAGTACACGGCGTCACATCCCAGAAGACAAGAATCTTCAATCTCATGGATATCCGCGAGATTTGAAGCCTAGTGAACTCTTGAGGTCTCTTGTTCGTACTCCACCCAGGGCTTGGACATGCGTGCAAGGTTCCTACTTAATCTTTCTCCGCGGCGGGTTGCGATAGACGAGACGAAGAATGGTATTCATGCGCAAATAAGACCTTCAAAACGTGGGTACTCCAGTTAGAGAACATTTTCCAATTTTCAAGCCTTTTATGCTATCAGGAAGGTTTCCTCTTCCCTGGATGTACTGCTTCACCCAGGCCAGCGAGCGGGCTCTTCAGCTGAGGGGTGTCTGCACATCTCTCCAGGAGCGCCCAGTCCGGCCAGTAATGAATTCGTCAGGACACATGCCTTTCCTTTTTTTTTTCTCAGTCTATTTTTATTGGTTGTTCTATTTTTCTTCTCCTTCTTCCATGAAGAGAGAAACGACAACTGGTTTGCGCAGTTCCATCATAGTCCAGCAAAAATAATAACTGGGACCCAACCAAAAAGAAAACATTTTGTAGCCCGTTCTTAGGAGGCGTGTTCCTGTGGAAGGTATAAAGTAGCACGCGGAGCTGGGAGTAATCTCGGTGTCTGGCTTACCTAGTTCGCAGTCTACAGCTGCTGCAGCCATGGTGAGTACGGATATATCATGTAATTTTGTGTGTGTGTCTAGCATCCGATAAAGGGGCCTATCACAGTGGTCGCGCGGTATGAGGCATGAAACGTCTTCGTCCGCTCGAACACTGCGTTCGTCGGTTCGAATTCCACTTGTGGCGTGTGTACTGTTTATTCTGTGTGTAGGTAGCGGCCTTGCGAAGGGCTTATCCCCGTCCAAGGAGCCCTACTGACTGTGTGTAGATTAAGACATTGGAAAAGTGCCCAAGGTCCACAAGGGCTATAGAGCCATAGGTAGAGAGATAGATAGGTAAGTCGGTAGGTATATATATATATATATAGATACATAGATAGCTAAATAGGTAGATAGATAGGCCTGATATAGGATTTACGTGATTCTTACGTAACTCGGTACTTACTGAATAGCATAATTATATAGTGTACAGTTAACAAAAGCTTTAGTATGATGGAATATCAATGAAGAACTGAAATTCAAACCGAAATGTATATTTGAGTATGATCAATTGTTTAAGCTCAGGAAACTTTGTTTGTTATTAGGTAAAATTATATTTTAACTAAAAAAAATATATATGTAGACCTATAATTTCAGGTTGTAGGAACCGTCTTTTATTGTAAAGAATAACAGGCTTAAGTAACATTAGCATGTGTTCGGAACACAATTTGGGATTTTTCCGCATGATAGAAGATTTGAACATTGTGGAATATACACGTTAGAAAACATGCAAATAGCAGAGAAGTTCTTGGTCATTTATCCGGAAAATAGCAAGACTTACGAAAAGAAGTTTGTTACCATGAAATAAGGGGTTGCTTTTCGTATAAAATTTTCCCTGCAACCAATATTACACGAGCATGGTTCGAGATTCGCACAGAAAGCTATGTAGGTTTTTAATGTGAAGTGTCCTTTATTTCTGTCAAATTTGAACCAAAATTGGAATAGTTTAGCAAGTTTTATTGAAACTTCTTTATATTAAATTTTATGAAAACCCTTTTATCCTACTCGAGTTATCTGAAGCGTACAGAGCGCTCCACAGAGATGCAGTCAGACCTGGAACTCAGATCTCGTTATCATACCCACTCAAAAGTTCGGCCATAAGGGGTGAATTTTACCGCCCTTAAGTATTCTCATTCCCATTATACTGAAGTTAGTAATTCATTTTGGGAATATAAATATCTTTTTCGGTACGTTCGACGGAACAAACTGCGTTTGTGCATATCAGGATTTTCTTTTAATAGCGATCTTCTCGAATTCTTCTAGATATATCTCTGTTCTTTCCGTGGTCCTGTAGTTCGGCGACCCCGTTCCATAAAGTGCAATGTATGCAATTTGTAGTCTGGTTTCGTCTTGTTTTCTTACCATAAACATGGCGACAGAAAAGGAGTGTATCAAGCACGATAGAAATCATAAAATGATCGTAATATTTTAGTAATATAATCTCAGAGGAAAACATCAAATGGAAGATCTAGGCATAGATATGATAATATTAAAATGTACCTTATAGAACTATGGTGTCATTTTAGTTTGATATTCAGCAGAGCTGTGAATAGCGAGGCCTTACGCGTAATGAGCTAATAATATGACGGAGATAGGTAAATGAAAAGGTGGAAATGATTTGAAAGGAAGCGGCCGTGACCTATGCCAAATTTTCATGGAGGGACTGAGGAAACCCATGAAAAACCTTAGTCAAAGCAGCTGGTATTCCAGACAAGATTCGAATTAAACACCCCTCGAACCTAAGTCAAGAGCATTACAGATACCACTAAGCTGTTCGGTAACTAGAATATGAAAGGGGCGGGGAAACTGCATTTTACTTGTTGTGGATGGTTTCCAAAGCAGGTTTCTTCAGAACTCCCTAATCAACAGTTCCGTTGCTTAAAAACAGGGCGCTTCTTGATCATGTGAGCAGCCACGAAATGGCGAATTAGTCATAAAATGTTAATAGTTTCAATTTTAATTTAGATTTTAAAATTAATATTATTTTCTATCATTATTTTGCGTGATTTGAAAAGATCGGCACTTAGAAACTAAAAAAAAATTGAAATTATTTATTGGATTTGTGTGTGTCTTCCTGTATGAATATCAACTAATCAGTGTCAGAACTCCCTGACCGATTTACAGCAAATTCGGTGCGAGGTACCGAAATTTAATTATTTCAAGGGATTTCTATTACTTAAGAACACTTTTATTTAAGGGTTTAAATTAATTTGTTCCTGCATATTATTAACACTTGGACACATTTCCAGTCTTTTTGATACACCGAACTTTACGTTACGAACACTAAGAAGTGTTAGTTTCATTCCCCTTCATCCATATTAACGGCCATTTTGTTGACTGGTCGAAGAATCATGATTTTAATTATTTAAATAAAACATTTATTATACCCGAGAGCAGACAGACATAAGCAATAAAAATGAAATATTTTTATACCATCCTCAAGCATAAAAAAGAAATAAAAGGTAAACCTATCCCTCTAACATGCTGTGGAGGTCCCTACGTTTGTGAGACGTCGAGGCTCCCACATTTTCTAGACAACAGGCTCACAGATGGTGGTGATGTCAGCCTTACCCGTCGGTCGCCCTTTATCTCCAGGAAAATGCCGCAGCACATACTTATCGAGAAATTTTACTAATTTCATTTTAAACGTCATGAATTCTATTCATTTTTGCAGTTTGTTTAACGACGCTGCCAATAACTCGTACTATATAGCGTTGAATGATTTAGATAATTACAATTAATTAGAAACTATGGTGAGGAAGCGGTCGTAGCCTGAATTAAATTATTATCGAGGAATTACCCTGAGGGGACTGAAGCAAACTGAAAAAAATATCCAGTCAGGTTAGTTGGTACCCCTTTCGAGGTTCGCTCAGGGTATGTCTCTGATACAAGTCGGTAACGTTCTGTTTGAGTTAACTTTATTCTTGAACTTCATGTAACTTGACAGATACGAACTGAAAATTCCTGTCAGGACGTGTGCAGTGTACAGTCCCAACGTAAAATTCTTCCGAAAACCGTTATCTGTCCCAGAAATGAAACTATGAAAAGTAAAAAGTAAAGCTAACCCTGTAACAAGCCGTGGAGGCCCATAGGGTTGTGAGACGTTGAGGGTCCCACATTATCTAGACAATCGGCTCAAAGATGGCTGTAAGGTTGCCAGCCTTACGCGCCGGCCGCCCTACTCCCCTGGTAAATTATTTAATTAATTCCTGGTACTCATTTATGTTAGAGGCTCAGTCGACCCCAAGGCCATAGTGTGGCTGGAAGGATTAGGTCAATTTAAAAAATTCAATGACCTCATCGGGACTTGAACCCGGGACCTTCCGGCTTATAGCATAGTGCCTCGACCAACTACGCTACCGCGTGCCCCGAGACGAAATTATACACAACGAAAATACATAACCGCCAATACGTGTTTATTTAATGTAATTCGTTCAAAGGATATATCCACATCCAGACCCTCAATACTAATTTCTAATTTCTTTTACGGCTACTTCTAAGGCTTTCGGTGGAAGAGACGGTGGTTAAACATAGAAACAAACAAGCATTACATCCTCAAATAAATAAGAGCACGTCATCTTGCAGAACAGGTCAGATTCGTCTGTTGATGGAGCCAGATTTGTTTTGCTAAGCATTCCAATAACACAGATGGCTGTGTCTGGGCCACGAGTACTGATGAGTTGCAAACAATGGCGCTAGTGTTCCAGTGTAAACAAACTGTAATCATTGCAGTTGTGTACCTCTCACTTGCCTTCAATGCGCGGTTCCAATACGTTCAATTCCATTCAATTTCCCATTCACCTAAAGAGTGTATATTGTGTAATTTTACAGATGTACTGTGACCAAACTGCTGTTGTAGCAGGAGCTACTAATGACAAGGCAAGATCTGCTATACTGAGCCTGGACTGATAGAGGCCCTGTATAATGTATGTAGTGTGTACATACATTTAATAACATGTACAATGTAAACTGTACATACTGAAAACAGACTTATTACTTGCTGACTGTGACTCTGGCAAACGACATACCAGCCCTCTCGTCAGAGAGAGCGTCCCACGTCAACGAACCTGCAATGACTAACAGTAATAAAAATCTGGTCGTAAGCCCCAGATGGGTGCTTTACTCCAAGACAGACTGGCCGACTGACCGTCGGTCGTAACATAACTTGACTTTGACTATCCCGTGTGGAGGGGGGACCGTGACCCTGCGAGTGGTGGGAGTCGATAAAAAGGGAAGTATCGAATCTGAGATAGAAAAATATAGTTCAGAGTCCGACGGGATTCTGACCAGAAAATGACTGCGCTGGCGAGGGACAGCAAGAACTGTAAATGACAAACCCGTCCTCTCAACAAACTCGCAACTATCCGACAGTAATAAAATCTGGTTTTAAGCCCCAGATGGGGGCTTTATTCAAAGACTGACTGACGACTGATTGTCGGTCGTAACATAAGACTCGACTAGACTCGACTAGACTCGACTCAGTGTTTAAAGGGTTAAATGAACGCAACCCTTGAGAATTTTAATGTACTTCTGTGCCCATAAAATCCTATAGAGTCGCAGTGATATATATATGCCAATAATTGAATATAATATTGTTTTTTTCTTCCTTTTCCGGTGCATGCAGGATGATGATGACCAGAAAATGCAGAGTAAGTATATCCTTCAGGACTCAAAGCCTGTACATACACGTATTTATGCACAGTAGCTTAATCCCGTTAAGAACTGAACGAGAAATATACTAATTTGTTATATAAGCACACGCATATATTTATCTCTTTCCCTCCTTTCTACGTCACTTCCCATCTCTTTCTTTTGCCCATCCTACCGTCACAACTGCCCTCTTCCTTCCTCCTTCTGGTTTACATTAAAATAGTGGGGTTAGTGTATCTCAAGATATAAACAATTCATAATAGTTCTTCAGTTGTCCTTGTGATTATTTAATTAAACACTATACCACGAAGACGTATGAGGGAGTGGAGGTATAGCTCCACAATTCTTGACCTCGGAAATAGATGGAGGTGACTGGTGAGCTTCACGCCCCGACTGCTTTCACCCAGGTACCCATTGGAGAGGACGTTGGGTGGAACCCAGAGCCGGCATGGAGATTGCGGAGAAGAGAAACATGTCTTTCTCCTGCTGGGAACTGAACTAACTCATTTCTATACCAAATCTGCTGTCTACAGACCGAAATATGGTAAACTTTTGTGTTTCGATACTTTGGAAACTGCGAGAGATCGATAAATGCCAAATGAACCGACAATACGGCTCTGTTTGGACTGACTGCACAGTGAGAATCCACCTGGCCGTGACGATCTGTACCGCGGCAACTAACAACAGTAACTCATTTTATGAGCAAAATGTAGGGAAAAATTTGCTAGTTTTGCTGATATGCATATGGGTTTGTGTACAGGTACTGTATTCTGGGATATAACTCCATGTAGTCAGTTGAAAGTGAACAGACTATTCGGAGAAGCATATCGCCTCCATCTTCAGGGACGAAGAATAAGTGGAGCAAGAAACCAGGGTGAAAGTAATTGGCAGGCTTAACAATCTACCCTGAAGATGGTGGAATTATGTTCATCCGAAACGTATGTTGGCTTTCAACTGACTACACGGCATCATATCCGAGAATATAGGACTCTTCATAACCACCGGTGTGAGAACCTCAATTCCTGTTAACTCAATTTGTTTCTGAGTTATTTCCTTCACAAGGGCAGCACTGACATGAAAAAAAAACAGAGTATGTAGCATTCTCACGTCTTCATCACAATCATGGAAAGGCAACGTGTTCTGCACGTCACAAGGCCGAAACGTCTTTGACTGCAAGAGTTCAGAGATGCCGCAACAAACATAATTCACCAAACTACATTGCAAGTTGTTCAACACTGACACTGCAGTTTCCCTAATTTCTTGAGGTTTGTAATCCATGTGGAACGTGAAGTCCTGCAGTGGTGTAAAGACTGAATGGAGCTTTATCTGCATGCCCTCAAGACGCTTCCATTTCTTAATGACTATTTACATCTGTACGTCTAGTGTAGACATCCGGCTGGTCTACGTTTACTATCACCGATTTTAAATTTCGTTTTAAATTGCCGATAGGAGAACACGGAGTCTTGATGGATCTGAATTCAATATGGCACCTCAGCCTATGATCTCAGTTCATTATGTTAACGTATTTCATAATGCATAATAGAGACCATCTTCAGGAAAAACACATAACTTGTACTCCTCACGAAGTATTATTAGCGTGGTTAAATCAATTAGGATGAGATTGGCAGGATATTTAGCACGCATGAAGACTACAAATATTATGTTTCGAGACATTATTCATTGTCCAGTTTTTATTTAAAATCCACCTCCAACTAGTGCTGAGGTCAAGAAAGTGTGGATCTCTACATCCACTACTTCATAAGACTTCATAGCGTAGTGCTTAATTAGTTAAGCACAGAGACAATTTTACCTTTTTATTCACCAACTTTATAACGCAGGGCCGCACCATAGCTCAAGCCGTTAGTCGCTGGCTTCCCACCGCGGCTGCCCGGTTACGATCCCGGGGTCTGGTCAAGTGGAATTTGTAGTAACAAATTGGCACTGGGCGGGTTTTCTCAGAGTACTTCGGTTTCCCCTGCCAATCTTCATTCCACCACATTCTCCATCATTATAATCACCCGGGGCAAGCTACAATAGGCCAATCAGTGGCCGCCGTGCCGAATGGACCCAGTTGGACTCCACCCCCCACTAAGAGAATTAAAAAAAAAAAGAACTTTATAAGGCAGACATAACGAGATGTCATTATCTCATGAGGCAATCTCAGAGATAACTGAGACACAGCTTAGTCGCACCTTCAGCATAACATTTAAAACACATTTACATATAAGATAAACACTAAAGTGTTCTGTCGATGGTGTATAACACTCAGAATTACTGGATTTTTGGTCTTTATCCATCGTCTGCTACTCTGGAAAAGCATAAAAGAAAATAGCGTTTTAGAAAATGGATCTGTTTCCGAAACGTATTCTTTATTGTTTTTAGAATAACATACTATGAACAAAGTCCAAAAACCCAGTAATTTTGAGATTTATATACAAATTTGTAGATGAATATGCATTATCTCTGATTTAAGCTCAACTTCACATCAATTTTGTGATGTACAAAACTGTGGACTGAAGTTAATGCTTCGCTACTTCTGAAGAAAGTTGGTGACACTGATGGGATATTTCTGTTTCAGTCATGCGGAAAGCATTCCAAATGTTTGACACAACCAAGAGCGGTTTCATAGAGACGCTTAAGATCAGCACAATCCTTAACACCATGGGACAACTGTTCGACGATGCGGAGTTGCAGAACCTCATCGACGAGACGGACCCTGAAGGTACGAGTTCAGGTCCCAACACATTTATTTTTCAGTTTCCAATGCCCAGTGCTACTGTGCTGTTTGCAGTCCGCAACTATTGGGTTGGACAAGAAGATCACTACATTCAAATTAAATCTCCGTGTATATAAAACCCCGACACTAGTTACAATTCTAAGCCAGTTCAATCCATACCACATCCATTAGCTCTTGTTCTCCCGTTTATAAGGTCTTACAGTATTATTTCAGGAACTTACAACATGTAGGTCTACTTTTATATTTACTCGTATTTATTTCTATCTAAGGACGCTGTCAATAGTTCGGACCATAGCTTCGACCAGGATTCTTTGCAAGGGGGCGGGACAGCCAGAAATTGGCTTACAAGCTTCAAGCTGAAGCCGTTTCAGTACATCTCTACACACTGCCCTGAAGTTGTGGTTATTTATAATGAAACATAAACGGCGCCACAATTTGCCCTCAAGGTCTTCCCATTTGAACACTTTCTATTAATGTTTATAATATCTTGCTCCTTTTCGATTTGAATTTCCCTCTAAAAAGGGTAGGGATAAATGTCTGGCTTGCACACCTTCCAGCACCCATGTCTTCAAATAATAAGATGATTAGTGAATAATGAATTGAAGGGGATGTGAAAGAAGCGACCGTTACCTATTTTGGGCTAAAAAAGCAAAACTATATCTGTTATAAACCGTGGAGACCGATACGTTTGTGAGACGTCGAGGCTCCTACATTTTCTAGGACGTTCGCTCACAGATGGCGGTGAGGTCAGCCTTACGAATCGGCCGTCCTTCAGCAACAAGAACATTCCTGGTACTCATTTCTGCTAGAGGCTGAGTCGACCCCAGGGCCATAGTGCAGCTGGAATGATTAGGTCAATTGAAAAATCCAGTGACTTCATCAAGAATCGAACTGGTGACCTTCCGGCTTGTAGCACAGTGCCTCAAAAAGCTACACTACGTCATGTCCCCCTTTATTTGGATTACTACTCTGGAATTTCCTGGAGGGACTGAGGAAATCTATGAGAAACATCGCTTATGATAATCGATCATCGGACCCGAAATTTGTACCAAGAACCTCCCAGATTCGAAGCTAATATCGTATACATTCGACCACGATATTAGATCGATCTTGTCCAATGTTGGAAGGAGTTATTGAAATTTCAGGTTATGTTGTATTTTAGCGTCCTGTTGCACTGATTCGTATCCATAATGTATATATATATTTACCGTCTTTTAGTGCACACAATTTCACTTGTCACTTCACACTACATGTTTTGGCATCATTCTGCCATCCTCAGGTGTATCAATCACGTTAAACCATTGCATTGCCTGCCATCAAGTGTCCATTTATAAAATGATATAAAATGTGTGTTTGTCGTTCAATAATAAAATTTATATATTAAAACTACTTAAGGTCTATCATCTTACATGTCGTATATGAAACTCCTGTGTAATGCCATTCATCCGCTGTGGGAGTCGTTCTTCTTATGTTTTAATTGTGTATATATTGTGTCTTATGAAGTGTCTTTCTTATGTGGCTGCGTGCGTTTATTGCTGGACGTATGTGTGTGTGACACACATTCAGAAAATGGCACTGTAGGATTTTGCGAGAAGTTCAAACGGTATCTGTATGGGACATATTCTTTGGCACAACCTAGACAACAGAAAGACGTGCACACAGACTATTCCTCTGATAGTGTGAAGCCAAGAGATCGCGTGTGAGAAATATGTGTAGATTGGAGTAAAGTCTGATATTAAAACAGATCTTCAGGAAATTATGTTTGAGAATCTGGGCTAGATTATGATCTTTCAGGATGGATTCAGTATCAAGCTTTTGTGAAAGTGGTAATGAGCCGTCCTGTTCCATAAAAAAGGGGAATATCTCGTGGGTAATTTTACAACGCTTTCATTATTTAGAGGACATAGTGTCCGGTGGTAAGGCCGCGCCATAGCTCAAGCGGTTAGTCACTGGCTTCCCACAGCGGCGACCCGGGTTCGATCCTGGGTTTGGTCAAGTGGGATTTGTGGTGGACAAAGTGGTGCTGGGGCAGGTTTTCTTCGAGTACTTCGGCTTCCCCTGCCAATCTTCATTACACCAATTGCTCCAAAATCACCCTCACCTATCATCTGGGGCTGGTACAATAGGCCAGAATTGGCCGCAGTACAAGGGACTTAATCCCACCCCACTAGCAATAAAAAATAGTGTCCAGTGGTAAGGTGATTATAAATAATGAATGTAAACGGATTTATAAGGAAGTGGCCATTACCTGACTGAGGTACAATCCTGGAATATTCCTGGAAGGTCTGAGCAAAACCGCGAACTTCTCAACAAGTTATTTGGTGTACTTAACGAAATTCGAACCTAGTAACTACGAAATAACTTCACTAGCAGGGCGACTGTTATGTTCATGTCGCTAGTTTAGTTGACACCTGAGAAGTGGAACGGATGCTAAGAGTTGCCTGCTGCTGTGCTCTGTGAATCTAACGTCATTTGTATTTTCAATCAGCTTCGGGAAAAGTCAACTTCGACGGTTTCTGCCGTATCGCGGCGCACTTCCTTGAGGAAGAGGACTCAGAGGCCATGCAGGAAGAACTGAAAGAGGCGTTCCGTCTGTACGACAGGGAAGGTGAGCTCAGAAGAACATATTTTCGGTACGGGCGACGGCAGGCTATGTTCGCTACGTACGCTGTGTACACTCTGCAACGCAGCTAACATAGGGAACATAGCGTACGTAGCGTACGGAAGTCTGTGTGGCCAGTTACATTGGCAATATAGGTAGATATTTTTCTGTTCGTATAGCGAATATAGCCTACGTAGCGTGCGTCGCGTACGTAGCGCTCTGTGTGGCCGAACCTTAAAAGCCAGGTACATTTCCCCTGGCGTTTTTCTTTAAGAATCAAAACCTCAAAATCTAAGAGAAAGAAATTCTGCAAATATTAACAACAAATACATTTCTTACATCTTGAATATTCTAAAGCAATCAGTAAAAATAAACTTGAACAGCTCAAACGTAAGTTTTTGAGCAAATTTTCTCCCCCCTCCTTCTGCCCCGAAAAGAACCTTGGCGACGCCCTTGATTCTAGGGGAATTTGACTTTATAAGTTGGCAACATATATATATATATATATTGATACTGAGTCTGCTCTTGGATACTCCGTGTTGATGCAATGCAGCCAACATTTCGGTGTGTATACTACCTCTACCTTTAGAATTGAAATTCGACACTAATTGTGAGGCCATGTACCTCCGAGACGTCGGCAACATTGCACACATCAAAGTATAGGATCAATATCAACAATTATTATGAAGGCCTGAAATCGGTAATAAATATATACCGAGGTCAACAGTTTGCATGTGAATTAATTTTATGGGGTTTATGGGCCGCCTTTAATACACGGACGACCGTCTAAAGCAATGGTATCAGGCTTAATAGAAGATAAAGCTGTCCCTGTGTTAAAAAAAATATGCCATGATATGTGTTGGAGTGGAGGTATAGCTCCACCTTTCTTGAACCCGGCACTAGATGGTCAGTGGTCAGCTTCACCCTTCAACATCTTTACTCCTGGAGAAAGGGCTACCGGTACATATTGCTTGGGAGGCTGGGTGGGCCTCAGAACCGGTGTGGAGGGAAATATGCATTGCCAGGAATCGAACCCGGACCGTAGAGCGTGTAGCCCGACGCTATACCGGCTGGGCTGTTTTGTACGTTAGTACTGATAATTACCCGAGCGTTTTCTTTTTCTGATCAGGTAACGGATACATCACCACCCAAACCCTGCGGGAAATTCTGGCAGCCCTGGACGACAAGCTTGGGCCCGAAGATCTGGACGGCATCATTGCAGAAATCGATACTGACGGCTCTGGAACCGTAGATTTCGACGGTAAGTGACGCAGTAATTACGCTTTCCATACCCTAACTCCACAAAGCTAACTGTTGCTCGGCTACTCACGAAATTCCCAGTATCTTATGGAAACCCAAGGTTATTTACCATATTCACAGACTCTCGTTCGATTCTGTCCTGAGCTACATTCATTCATTCATCAGTAATCTGTCAAGACGACAGGTCCACAGTCTCTTCCAAAACAGTTCCTCCACTTGATGCGATCTAGAGCTTTCTCCTTCAAATGAAAATATCCTCTTCTGTCCCCAAGGTCATCCAGCATATTCTTACGTCTTCTTCCTCGTCTTCTGGTCACTTCTATCCGCCCCTCTCTCGCATATGTGGTATCTCTGTTTTTGGAAAGAGACTATCCAGGAAAAGGGATAATGTGGTAGTTTTTCCATTTGCTTTCCACATCGCAGTACAACAGCCGTTCAAACCACTCTGGTCACGCCTGTTGCTATACGAACTTGAACCATCTCGAGCATCATTTGCTCTGTGCTTCAAGTTGCTGCTGATGACGCTGCTTCCGGCATCAATTTTTGGTGTCTCTCTTCGTCTGATGCCTACCCTTTGACCTGTCTAGCAAGGGAGGCCCTGCCAGTAGCTACGCTACCGCTGGTATAGCTCTCAGGGTCCTTGGCATACTCAAACCCCCTCACCACGATAAGGTGGGGACACCAACATATATCTAATCAAAATGTTCCCTTCCTTTCCCCTATAGAGCTCTTTAGTTACTAACCTCCCATCTATGCCTAGGTCTTGGATTTGGTGTCTTCCTTTGAGATTTATAGCTACTGGCTACGGGCTGGACGACCGAAGGGTAGTAGTTCGAGTCCCGGTGGGGGCAAGAATTTTCTCTTCTCCAAGTTGTCCAGACTGGCTCTGGGGTCCACCCAACCTCCTATCCAATGGATACTAGGGGAACTTTCCCTAGGGATAAAGCGGCAGAGGCGTGAAGCTGACCATTCACCTCCAGCTAATGTAGAGGTCAAGAAAATGTGGATCTATACATCCACTCTCCTATACGCCTTCACGGCGTAGTGCTTATTTAGTTAAGCACAGGGCTTTACCTTTTTCTTTACCTCCTGTTCTATGCGTAGTACATGCCCTTATCATCTGATATTTCATGACTTGATAATTTGATCTGATTATTCTAACGTTATTTGGCGAGGAGTACAAATTATGCACCTCCTCATTTCTCTCCCTCTTCCTTGGGCTCAAATATTCACCCTCAGCACCCTGTTATCAAAACACCATTGTCTCTGCTCTTCCCTTAATGTGAAATACCCAAACAAAGTACAGGCAAAAATTATAATTCTGTATATTTAAATCTTGTCCGCGTCATAGCTCAAGCTGTTAATCGCTGGCTTCCCACCGCGGCGGCCCGGGTTCAATCCCGGGTCTGGTCAAGTGGGATTTGTGGTGGACTAAGTGGCGCTGGGGCAGGTTTTTTCCGAGTACTTCGGTTTCCCTTGCCAATCTTCATTCCACCAATTGCTCCACAATTACCCTCACCTATCATCTGGGGATGGTACAATAGGCAAGAAGTGGACGCAGTACAAGGGACTTAGTCCCACCCCACTAGCAATAAAAAAAATTTTAAATCTTCATGTTTTAGGCAACAAAAGGAAAGACAAAACAATCTGAATGGAACAGTAATGAGCATTACTTGAACCCCTCTATACATGTTTTACTTTGTAGTGTGAATCCAAAATTCAAACTCAATTATAATTTTAGCGAACCAAATTTTCAAATTAAATCCAGTTTTTACGCCATTTTTTGTATGTTAGAAGATGTGTATATACGTTTATCAACAATACTTACATTTCCTCGTTATGATTCTTGATTGTTTCCCCTTGCAGAGTTCATGGAGATGATGACCGGAGAATGAGAGGGCCAACTGTTACGTCACTTCAATTCAGTGTTTTAGAAGACTCTGAAGACAGGATTACAGGACCACAGTCTGCTTCCAGGATTCCAAACTTTCGTTCCATATTTTTGGCTAGAAATATTATTTAATCTCTCACCTTTATCTTTATGTAATTAAATAAAACTTCCAAACTGGGATCGGAGAGACATCTGTCGTCAAGCACATGCATCACCACGTAGCATGAAACTAGAGCAGAGGAAACAGAATGGAAAAGATGTACGCTTACAAACACAAAAGTCACTAATTGTACGTGTGTGTATATTACATTCACAATAAAAATGTCTCGCTAAATACGAAAAAGAAATTCTGTTTCATTGTTGTGAGGCGGAAAACTTCAGCAAAGTATACGCGATTTACTATCTCATATAATTATATCCTTTTATTTTACAATACCGAGTACTACACACATGAAACAAAAACAAACTCCGTGGTTTTAGTCCGCAAGCGAACTATACCGACAGAGCGACAGCCGCTTGTCGGCGAAGTTAGTGCCAACTTTTGGGGATAGAGGATGTCCCGTGGTCAGCGCAAGGAATCCCCACGGCCGTTAATCTCGGTTTACTAAACCGGAGACGCTATTTCCTTGAAATAGCTCCTCAGTTATCCTCACGAGGCTCAGTGCACCCCGTTCCAGACCCACTACTTCTCAGAAAGAAATCTGGTAGCGCCGGGAATCGAACCCGGACCTCTAGATCTGTAGCCAGGAACGCTGACCACTAGACCACAGAGGCGGTCGTACTACACACATACCCCATATAATTCGTTGTTTGTTCCAACCCCTTACTTTCTTACATGTCATGTCTACTATGGTCAATTAAAAATGCCACGCAGTATCGTAGTTGCTTGAGGTCGAATTTCGTGGGTTCGATTTCCAATGATATCATTGGATCTTTTTCAATTGACGTAATTCTTTCAGCCGCACTATGACCATGGGGTCGACTCAGCCTTTAGCAGAAATGAGTACCAGAAATCTTCCTAGGGGTAAAGGCTACCGGCAGGCAAGTAAGGCTGACATCGCGATCTGCGAGCCGATTGTCTAGAAAATGTGGGAGCCTCGACGTCTCAGAATTCTACGGGCCTCAACGATTTACTACAAGGAAAGTTTTACCTTTTTTTTACCTTTATGATTCATAAAACAATTAAGACAACTTACTGTACTTTTCAAGTCCTTGTGCACATTTATCTCCTTCCCTCATTTTTTTCAGTATTTATTTCCCATCCGTCTTATTTGGTGGTATTACACTCACCACTGTGGCCGTATCCTAGCAACGGAGCTTCGAGTTTTCCTTAAATATGAGAGGAACTGTCTACTATTCATATGCAAACGCAGTGATATTACGTGAGAAATATGAGGATTATGGAATATACTGTACGAACATTTTAATTATTTTAATTAAGATTTGGAGCGGTTAGCAACAGAAAGATCCGTTATCTCCCGTCTTTTCATTATTCAAGCATCACAGATTATTATCGTGAACTTTCAAAAGATGGCAGGTCAGTATCCTTCTCCAATGTCTATCGAAAAAAGATTGACTGTGGGCAGAAGAAGCCAATGGCTGCACGAGGTATCACGAGAGTAGCACTTAAATAACTAAATTTCGTTCTTTTATTCTAGGTTTAACAACTTACTGTTTCGTAGTGTAGGACTGCAAGGAGGAAATGTATCTGTTAAGAAAGTTGGAGAGAAATAAATAAAAAACTTTCGATTAATAAGTATTCATCCAGTTTATATTACAATTATAATCTTCGTTTGAATAATTCTAACGATCCTTATACTATGATTTGCAGCTTTGTAACTTGGTACACTCTTTCACTAGATATATACAAGTTGCAGATATTGCAGTGGTTCGCGTTACACAAATAAAGTACGTATTTTGATAAGCGGCCACTGGGACAAGATTGTGTACAAGACATAAATTACTGTTGTATTTCTGACATGAAATCTTATTTTTTATAACAAAATTCATGTTATATATTTAATGAAACACAAGATAAAAACATGTATGCTTTTATCAAGTGTAACGTGTTCAGAATTACAAAATTGGATTTTTTTTTTCTTTTGGGTATTCGCACAATGTGAAAGTTTGGCTATGTTTCCAGCATTTCGGTAGAATATGCCATCTCTTTCTTGAGAGTTATTACTGAAGATAGAGGCAGCATATTCCTCCGAAATATCATTAATATATCCCATAAAGTGGACAGGTTGATCTAGATGTTACTATATAGTTATATTTTGGATGTACTAGGATCGAATCTCAGCTGGGGTATAGTACGATTGAGGTTATTTGTGCTTTTCCTACGTCTCAGAAAAATGCCACTAAAATGCCTTCATTATGCCACGAATGCTCCCTTCCAGATCTTTTACAATGTATCATTAATCTACCTTCCAATCTGTCGACGCTATAAGACCTTGTTATTTAATGAGCGTCTTTAAATAAGCCACTAAAATTTCACTTCCATGAGGTGAAAATATCCAAGTGCAGCATCTCCAGTGTTAATTAGTTTCGCCAACATTTTGACTTATGACTCTATGAAATATACTTTTCCTTTCATTCATTATTCTTCAACCGTACATGTATACATAATTGCCATCAACTGAGACTTCAATCGCAAGAATTCTTAACACACATGAATACACACGTTACCTGTTGCCTAAGTGAGTGAAAATTCCATTTCTTAAAACACAAACCAAAACAATATCTGAACTTCACATTCAAGATGGCCGGTTTCAAGATGGCCAATCTTAAGATGGCCACGTGTCTTTTCGTAATAATGCAATGATGATGACGATAGAGTAATGACAATATAGGCAAATTATTGCATATCCATGTTGATTTCAATACATAAATTATACATGGTAACGTTGATATAACAGTCTTCATAAACAATTAATTCACCTCACGATTAAATCAGCTGCTGACGACACAGGAGAGGAAAGAGCACGGAACATAGGAATACAAACGAGCGCCATCTCGATTATAAATTTCAGGGTGTGTTCATAAATGTAATTACGTACAAAAGGTTAATAACAAACCATATCAACATTTGATACGAAGGATCCAATCCAGTTATTCCCAAACCATGTTCCAAGGATTGTTTTACGGAAAGCTGTGGGTAAATTAACATAACTTCTGCTAAAAGTAAAGTTGATCTTGTGCTAAATTAAGTGCTATGCAATGAAGACATACGGGGGAGTACAGGTGTAGCTCCACCACTCTCAACCTCGGCACTAGATGGAGGTGAGTGGTCAGATTCACACCCCGGCCCCTGAACCCCGGGGAAAGAGCCCCAGGTACCCACTGGATAGGAGGCTGTGTGTCGGTCCATCTGGATGACGTGGAGAGGTGAATTGTACTGCCGGGAATCAAGCCTTAGCTATCGCTATACCGAATGAGTCATCACGGCAATGCAATGTAAATAGGATTTACGAATCTCGTAACTTCCACTCTGAAAGCAGAGCCAATCTATCATTGCTACGAAGCCGTTTTATTAATTTTTGGCTTCGGTAATGGTTCGTTTCGTTTGCCCTTTTATTCACAGAAGGAAATTTTATGGTCCATTCTATGATTAGCTCTCCGTAAAAATCTTAGTTCCGGTCTCCATTTCAAATTTTTCCCAAATTCATCGTTTATTTTTGGTACATTTAAAGTTTCTTGGAAATGTACAGGTGTAAACAGGAACCTTGATTCTGTATCCGTTCCTTTTGTCTCGGGGAACCCCCTGTCTATTGCGTACTGGACCACGTGATATGGTCATCTCTCTACTGATTCTTGCTATGCTGCTGAGGGAGGAAGACCGTCATGTTGGTGTCGGATTACAGGAGAGATTGAGGTATGTAGCCCACACAGGAAGTGTCTAACATTTTAGCAGTGCGCATACAGGGTGAGCAAAAAAGAAGGCTCAGTCACGATGTGAGAAAAATAATACAGGAATTTGAATATATTTTATAATTTTCACTACAGTCTCGCAAAATCACTATATATACCTCATGGTTTAATTTGTTACAAATGTTGTCTAGCAGTTTTATTTTAAAATTTAATTGCTTAAAAATAAAACTTGTATATTTCCATCATCCGTATCCTAGTCTTTACACATAATTACATGTAGTAACACAGACTGGCGGACATACTTTCTAAGAGATGATTGATTTAATCGGCGCTGGCATTTTATGCATATATCTAAAGTAGATTTGGAACATATATCGGTAAAGGTTTTGTAACAACTCATTTTCCTTGGTATTCAATTAAAAAATAAACTTCACGTGTGTAAGTAGCGATACTGACAGGAGTTATCACGAATTTAATTTCATAAGCAAAACTTTTAGAGTTGGATGTACTGCGTAAAGTCTTGTCAATGTTGGTACATTAAGTGATCCTTAACACTGTATCCCCCCCGGGTTATATTCTGAATCCGAACAGTTATAACTCGATTGATGAATGTTCTAAGGAAATGGTTATTAAAAGAAATGTTTATTTGGTGTCATCATAACATAATTTGGACAAGCGAAACTACGTTTCATGCACAATGGAAATCTGCTTACGAAAGGTAGTTAGATGGAACCTCTTTTGTGCCTAGTCGAGTAATATTAGAGGTTTATTACTCTGAAAATAATTTGCTTCAAATTTATTTCATTATTTAAACAGACTATAATTGAAGCGAGGTTGAAATTACCGGAAAAGTCGCACTGACCTTCCTCATTCCTGTATCATTCCAACTCATAATGGGGGGAGATGAGGAAAGTGGATCTCAGAGAGATAGGATGAAGTTATGTGGATTGGATTGTTCTGGCTCAGGATAGGGACCGGTGGAGGGCTCTTGTGAACAAGGCAATGAACCTTCAAGTTCTGTAATATATTGAAAAGTTCTTGAGTAACTGCACAACTGAGGGCTTCTCAAGAAGGGCTCAGTTCCATGGAATTAATGATTTAGTTAGTTAGTTAGTTAATATCATTCCAACAACAAATGACAGTAAATATTCTTACAGAAAAGACAAAAGGGTGCCGCAAAATATCAGCATCACACAGAACCTTGATAAGACATGGCAAATAATACAAGTCAACAATTAAACATATATTTGGATATCTTTGTTACACCAGGGCGGATTTTTTTAGGTGTCAATAATATTTCGGCTAACATATTCTTTTACCAGTAAGCTGAAAAGGGGACATGTTTGTATGTCATCCATTCAACATATTATATTTTCAAAATAACGGATTTAATTGTAGTAGAAATAATTTTAATCAATTTACTTATATAAGCTTATTTACATATGCAGTACGAGTATATGAACTTAATAATTCCTTTTTAGTCTTCTTGTTTTATATCCTAATATCTTCAGTACGTTATTGCCCACATATATAACAATATAGGATATCTGAGATAGAATTTTGAAAATAAAAACACACTGATGAAAAACATTTCGATATATTAAAAAAAGTCTGTAGTCAAATGCATGAGCATACTAAATTGTTGAGATTCCATCCGCTCAGTATAAAGGAAATACATTTTTATACATAATATTTTACATTATTACAAACATTATACTATTTATATTTATATACTAAAAACTTAATTCTATTTTAAACAAAAAAAAAATACACAACTTCGATGTTCACAGTGCGGTAAAAACATTTTTCACAAAAAATATAAATGGATAATATTATTGTTATCTTGTAAGGTGACATTTTACGCTGCTTGGTTCGCTGTGCACTGAGTACAATGTGATATATAGAGCATATTCCTTCACAGTTCCATCCTGTCAGATATGGTTATTCAATTATCCCAGCCATATGTAGCTGAATCGGCAATTCAACTCTCTGCACTTCCATTTCTTGGCATAATCTTCAGACACAATTAATATTATACATTCACAAAGGCGTTGCTGGGCAGCGCTGCCCGGAGTTGTTTACGGCTACGTAGCAACTGCGGCGTCCTGTGTTACGTCACCGCGGGGAAAGGGGTGTCTACCGAGCGTTGCACACCGATGGACGGAGTGGGGTTATGTGACGTCACTCGCGAGATCACAGAGTTCACGCGACCCCAACCTCCCGCTACGCCATGCACGTCACAATATTATACACTAACATTACACAATTTGTATATACACAAAGAACTCCCTCACTGTTACCAGTCACGAGTCCCCAACTTTGAGACCTAGAAGTGATAAGGTGCTGCCTGCTCAGGGCTATCGTACATCTCAGGGGACGATCATAGATGAGTACAGAGGAATGGTGGAATGAAGATTACGAGGTCAACATCGAAAAAAAGAAGACTCGGAGAAAGACCTGCTACACTGTTACTTATCCACCACGAATCTCAAATTAAGTCACCGGGAAAAGAACCAGGGGCTGTGAGGTGAGAAACCAGAGCCTAACTGCCTGAGCTATGACACGGCCTTCGAATTTATGCGTGTATTACGACTACGTCGGCGTGTCCACCTACACTAATTATGTACGACTGACATCACAAGTACAAATAAAGACAACACTAAAGCATACACAACAAAAGTAAACGACATAAAAGAGACTGAAATAGCCGCCAAAAAGATGTGTTGGAAATATCATACGAAAGACATTAACAACAAAAACAACGATGAACGTAAGGACGCAGAAAACAAAGTGTACAGTGCAGTGGTTGCCTTATTATAGCCCATGTGTGGCCGAAATATGTATCAACAAGAATTGAATTCATATATATATATTTAATGGCATTTTAAAATATTTAACAAACACTTTTAGTGAATTAATTATATTCTCGTGTCTTTTATAAAAATTTGATTGTGTTGTATTATAGACGGAATCCTTACGATATAAAAATTATACCACAATGCAACAGAATGCTGAAATACGACAATATCACAATTAAAAGGGAACACACGTATTTATTTCTGTTTACATATTCATTCATTTGGAAGTGTTTTGATTTAGAAATATCAGAAACGAGTTTTCTTACAAATTGTTGTGCCCCAGGTTATTAATGGGTATAATATTTTTTAACGAAGGGGCGATATTATGTTTAGGTTATTAGAAATTTCTTGTAAGTTTTATAAATCGAATTACGTTAGGCGGACCACAGGTTGCCAGCCGGAAACCAGGATTAAGAACACTTTTATACGTAGCACATTCCTCAAGCATCCGGATTTCCTTGTATAGTTTACAGAAATTGTTGCCAAATCGGGTGAACGCTTTCGCACGACAGGTTATCGGCCAAGAGGAATCTTCCGCTTTTAGGATTTTGAGTGAAGAGAATTTTCATGACGTTGAATTCTTGTGGGTTCGGACAGGAGAAGTCGCTCGGAGCAGTCGTGTGGTAGGAAGGAGACGCGATGGAGGCAGATGTGTTCATTGTCAGCTACTTTTGTAAGCGTGAGTAATTGCCAGTGGTCAGATCACTGATTATTTGTTAATATGTAATTTTTGTTCGATGATTAGGATATGGATTTTGGTTTCGTAAGTGATTGTTAGGGTAAAAATTGGCCAAAAGAATTAGCGTATAAACTTTAGCTAATGAATTGTTTAAGCGTAAATTCTGATCAATTATTAGATTACATACATTTTCGTTTATAGACGGATGGTTAAGATATAAACATTTGGTTCAGTAAGTGTTAGGTTGTAACATTTGGTTTTCTAATGTCTTATTAAATATAGAAGTTGGTTACATTATTAATTGTTAGGATATGAACTTGGGTTGCAGAATATGAAATTTGATCCGTTGATCGACTGTTATGGTGTAATACATGATTTACTAAATGTTTTTAGAAGATATAAGACTTGAATTATAAACCGATCGTTAGGATACAGAATCTGTTTGACGCGTGATTATTAGGAGATATAAGGAAATTTTGGTTTGAGTGTTGGAACAGGAAATTTGGTTTGTACCATGTAGGTTTAAAGGAGCTTGGTTAACCGATTTTACGAGGTACTTGTACTGAGTGAATTAGAATACTGTGTAAATTTATGGTCGTATGTATGTACTTGTTGAGTTTATTATATTTGTACTTGTTTTCATATATTCAGTGTTTTTTGGAGTATTCGTAATAGTTACGTCATTGGGCGGAGTGGGAGCTATCCACAGATGTCTAACTGGTGACAATTTGGTGGGATATTCTAAATTTTGATGGTGGCCGCGTCGGATAAAATAAGAATTTCTGTGTCGCAATTGTGCACCACGAAAATTTGGCGACAGTGTTGGGATAAGAATAAGAAATTTGGGTGCCTCACCCCCGCATTCGTAGTAATAAATTGGTCGCAAAGCGCGCGGCACAATAATCTGATGGCAGCGGTGACATATAATAAGATTTTTGTGTCGCAATCTTTGTGGCACCATAACATGTTAACGTAAATTTATTTTATAAGTTGCCATTCGCCGATATCTGATTACGAACGTTGCTAATTGAACACTATCTTGACAGAACTGTAACAATAAAAATGCAGTGCAGTGGGCTGAAGTACCGACTCGTCCGTTGTGGAACCACAACAAGCGGGACTATGTTCTTGATCCAAGGGAACATCACGGGACTTTAACCAAGGTCTCCGAACTTAAGGGTTTACTCCTCCAAGAAAAGAAACGTGTGACATTCTGTTGATCCTTGTAATGGTGTCAATAATTAGAAAAATTTGGTTGGCTGGGGACCAGAAAAAATCTTCACATCATGGTGACGGAGGACATCGCAATACCGGGAAGCAAACTACGACATCCCACCTCGTAGCGCGTCATTCAGCGGTTGGACGTCAGTCTATTCTGATGTTACCGAAACAGGCTTTGCTTCATGTCAAAACAAAACTTCTGGATATGTAAATATTTGGCGGAGAAAGCACCCAGTTTTGACAAAAATTAATGTCACTTTTCCGTAAGCCACCATGACAATTGGCGAAAGCTTTGTGTTTGACTGCCTAAATACGTTAACCGGTGTTTAAACAATGTAGACATTTCCCAGTGTCAAATTAACTATTCTGCTTCTGTTCCCATGGAAACATTGTAATCGTCAAGTGATTGTAAGGCCGCGCCATAGCTCAAGCGGTTAGTCGCTGGCTTCCCACCGCGGCAGCCCGGGTTTGATCCCTGGTCTGCTCAAGTGGGATTTGTGGTGGACAAAGTGGCGCTAGGGCAGGTTTTCTTCTATTACTTCGGTTTCCCTGCCAACCTTCATTCCACCAATTGCTCCACAATCACCCTCACCTATTATCTAGGGCTTGTAAAATAGGCCAGAAGTGGCCGCAGTACAAGGGGCTTAGTCCCACCCCACTAGCAATAAAAAAAAAAGATGGTAGGAATTCACATTCCATGTTCAAAATATCAATGAAAGAATAAGAACAACCTCGACCATAAAACGGAAAATATTAAAAGACTTATTACTTGGTTCACAGTACAAGGACCAGGCTTTCACATCGTTTGCTTCTCTGAGGATAATTCATTCTGATTAAATATATATATTTATAAATATTTGAGTATTGTTATTTACATGATCGTGTTTGCTGCGTTCACTCACAGAGGGCATGCCAGTGCTGTACCTGCTCCATCGGGCTACCGAAGGCTGAGTTCCAGTGGGTAAGAGCCTTGCCTCGTGCGAACATGTAGGAGCCGAGTACGAACTTGCCGATCAGTTTATCTGGAACACAACCACACACTTCTCTTCACCAGTAGTTGCTTCAAAATGATCACCCTGTAGATTTCTATCCGAATACAGTCTACTTGGGTCTATCTCTAGAAAGTAAAGGTCACAGACGTGCATGTACAGCTGCAGCCAGTATTCATAATCAGTGTCGCCATAGCAAAGGCAGTTAAGCGCTGACTTCTCACCAAGGGACCTCTGGTTCAATGACAATTGACTTCATGTGAGAAGGTAAAACTAATGACAAGGATCAAGGGTCTCTCCGAATTTGTTCGGCTTTCCCCTTGAGAAATCATCAGTCCACCCTAGCTCCACATTTATCTTAAGGCGTGCGAGAGACTTGACCAAGCAGCGCACTGTCTCATTGGCATATCTAAGCTGGAAGAGTCATCTCCGACATGGCCCTTTGCTGATTAGGATGTGTGAAAGTCAGTTAAGTTACTTCTTACGACTATTTCGTAAAGTAAGACAAAATATCTTGTGTGGAAATCGTGTCTGTGACCTGGTATCAATGCTTACATATTTGGGGGAATTTGCTTTAAAACGAAATGAAAATATACTGAGATTTATCGGGAAGTTATGATTTTCAGACATACTGATTCGTGTTAAACTTCGGATTAAGGTGGGAATACACGAGCGCGGCGCTGCTGTAATGCAACATAGATCGAACGGGATTCGCGACTTATTCGCTCGTGTGTATGTGACTTTGAACACGCGCAGCGCACGCCTCAAATGCCGCGCAGCGATCCGGTTCCAGTCGGTTTTTCTGACGAACACAAAGGGATTCGTTGCCGCAGTGTGGTCGGGTTCGGTTGCCATTTGTCTCATGAAGCGCGCACGCCTCAAACATGGAGTGGTCAGAAGAAGATATTTTGGGGCTCATAGAGGCATGCAAATCATTCCCTGTACTGTGGAATCCCGGAGAAAATGATTATTATAAAAAGAACAAAAAAAAAGTGACGCTTCCTCGTCTTCCATGGTCGTGTGGACGGCGAAGACAGAATGGAACTGAGGTGCTCGCGGCTTGTGCGCCCATTCAGATGGTTCGTTGCGTGCGCGTCGCTTGTTCGAGGTGCCCCAAATCACTCCGCGCATCACTTGTAATGCCGCTTTACAGCCGCGGCGCGCTCGTGTAGTCCCACCTTTACGCGACGCCATAAATGAATTTCCATAAAAGTAAAAAAGGTAAGCTAACACTCTAACAGAACATACGAAGCATATAAATAGAGTAAACCCTCGGTAATTCGGATTAAGCGATAGACATGATTGTTGAAAACAAAGCAGCCCTAAAAGACAGAAACACTTAGAACACAAATAAATTGAAAATTTAATGATGTAAGTATTGCCGATGAAAATAAATAACACTGTAGAGCCTTCATTTAGAAACTACAAAAAAACAATATATTTATTCATCGACAGAAAACTCAGAAGTTGTACTTGTTTCTGAACGTAAAGCTGCAGATGTGAAGAAACTGTCACGTGTTGTCTGAACAGACAAGAGACTCGTCTGCCTTCCCTAAATTCCATGTACGTACTCAACTGTGAGCGGCAATTTCCGTAATTCGGTGCGGATTATCGAGGGTTTGCTGTGGAGGGCTGGTGGAGAGACTCACCTCTGCCGTAGCCGCTGACGGCCTGCAGCACCTGGAAGCTGATGCTTGTGACGTCGATCTGAGCGGCCGGGACACGGAAGTTGAAGCACTCGGAGAAGTTGGGCGAGTCGGTGCCCTTGACTGTGGCAGTCCTCTTCACTTTGACCGTGCGGTAGTGCTGACTGAGAGCCACGCGCACGTACGAGTCGCACCGCTGCTCGCGAAACTGGAACAGGCGGACACAGCCTTACACATCCTCACTGGGCCTCTATTCGCAATAACCGTTGCATGCGACGCTGCAATTATGTGCGACAGAAAATCGTGTCGTTCTTCGTGGGAAGAGGAGAACAAATCAAGGTCACTCATCTAATGAAATTAGTTGGTTGAGGCACTATGCTACACGCCGGAAGGTCGCCGGTTCGATTGCCGCCGAGGTCATTGGATTTTTTCAATTGACCTAATCCTTCCAGCAGCACTATGGCCCTGAGGTCGACTCAACCTCTAAATGAGTACCAGAAATCTTCGTGCGGGTAAAGGGAGACAGGCCGCAGCATAAGGCTGACGTCACCGCCATCTGTGAGCTAATTGTCTAGAAAACGTGGGAGACTGAACGTCTTACAACCACAAGGGCCTCCACGGCCTGTTACAGGGATATCTTTACTCTTTTATTACGAAGCCAGAAGGAAAGAGACCAATAGGAAGACCTAGACGTAGGTGAGATGACAATATTAAGATAGATCTTAGAGAGACGGGTGGGATGGTATGGACTGGATAGTTACAGTGGAGAGCTCTTGTGTACACAGTAATGAAAATTCGGGTTCCATAAATTTTTCGGAACTACTTAAGAAGTGGCGGCTTCTCAAGAAGGGCTCAGCTGCATGGAATTAATTACTTACGCCCCATTCAAACAGCTGATTCGGTATAGTACCTATTTTTGGGGTACGACCGTTTCAGGATCCTTTCCAATTGATTTTTAATTAATCTTCCTCTAATCCGAAGGTATCAGTGTCAATACTGACAGCTGTGTTCAAACACTAACTCAAAAATGAACGAATTAATTCGAATGAAGGTTTTTTCGGGCAGCTAACGCTCTAGAATTGTATTCGGGAGATGTTTGGTTCGAGTTTCAGACGAGACATTGGTTATGTTGATGGGTATGGTTCCTTTATTAAGACTCTCCAGGCGGTGCTTATGTAGCAGGTTATTAGGCTACGAATACTTCCTTCCAAATCCCTTCTAATTCATCTTTCATCCACCATCCTATCATTCAAGCTAAATGGCCTATTTACCGAGAGTCGTAACGTAATCGACATAAACCCTCGCTCAGGTTTAAGCGAGCCAGTCCTTTGCGATGTTTATCTGTCACAATCCCATCCACTGCCTTCCAAGTTTTCTCCTTTAAAGCTTTCACGTCGAATAATTAAGCTAAGTTAATTACGTTGTATCATCACCGCAGCACAATCGTGCGGCAGATCTGGGAACTACGTGAACTCTGCATTAATTTATAGCGGCTGCCTTGAAGACACATCGCCATGGACAGATACGTTCTGCTACTACTGGAGTAACAAGGCGCAGAGGCCGTGCCATAGCTCAAGCGGTTAGTCGCTGGCTTCCCACCGCAGCGACCCGGGTTCGATCCCGGGTCTGGTCAAGTGGGATTTGTGGCGGAGAAAGTGGCGCTGGGGCGGGTTTTCTCCGAGTACTTAGGTTTCCCCTGCCAATCTCCATTCCACCAAATTCTTCATCATCATAATCACCCGGAGCAGGGTACAATAGGCCAATCAATGGACGCCGTGCCGAGTGGACCCAGCTGGACTCCACCCCTCCGCCCCCCACTAAGCGAAACAAGGCGCAGATAAAGGAATTACTGGGATTTGGGGTCTTTGCCCATCGTTCGGTATTCTAATAACAAGAGAACACAACGTTTCGAAAATTGGATCTGTTTCCGTCTTCAGGTGGATGGGGAGAAACCTACTTTGTTGCGTTGCTTAGAAAGAGCTAACTTTAATCAATGTTCTGTAGATTTTCAGAATGTCGTACGATGGATCAGGTCCGAAACCCCAGTAATTCTGCGTGTTATACACCACGGCCAGAACCCTTTAAAATATACATAAAATAATATTAGTTTAAATGCTGAATTTATTTTAAAAGTAACTGAGGTTGGAACTTTAATAGTAAGTCTTATAATTTCTTGTAACACATAAAATTTTAAACTATTAACTTCCCCCTTTTCTCCTATATTCCTTTACAGATCTTAATGTTATCGAATGATACGTCGAGGCCGACGTTTGACATAATCTGCAACTAATAACGCGAATAAATAATCTATCATACAGTATTCCCTTTATATAGCAACAATACGCTTCACATATACTTCGAAATATTATAAAAAGTCGCACAATATACATGATACATACATGGCACAAGAGACTGCTCGCTTATTCGTGACATACATCTACGCAGCATGCTAATTTATCGACAGTTCACTGATTCGTTAACCCGAAAGTTGTATTGCCAATGATAAATGTATGGCTTAGAAAACTTAATGTTTTTTTTATTGCTAGTGGGGTGGGACTAAGTCCTTTGTACTGCGGCCACTTCTGGCCTATTGTACCAGCCCCAGATGATAGGTGAGGGTGATTGTGGAGCAATTGGAGGAATGAAGATTGGCAGGGGAAACGGAAGTACTCGGAGAAAACCGGCCCCAGCACCACTTTGTCCACCACAAATCCCACTTGACCAGACCCGGGATCGAACCCGGGCCGCCGCGGTGGGAAGCCAGCGACTAACCGCCTGAGCTATGGCGCGGCCTAGCTTTATGTTACATACGTCGAAGCGCTTGCAGGGCAACAAGTTCACGCTCTGGAAATGAAAACTTGGGTTGTGAAGTGAAGGAAATCAGAAGAACAGAAGTTCCATGTATGGAATTCCTTAGAGCACTTCCTCGGGCAACTTTACAAAACAAAATACCAAATAAACAAAAGATTTGAAAAGGAAAGTAAGGCAGCATAGTCAAGAAACATCAAGGAAATTGGAAATATGTAAATGGGATGCAAAGTAGACGGAGAATCCCAAAATAAGCTTACGTTTGTAATCTCAGAGGAGAGAGACGTGAGAGAAATGGGAATACCCCGATTTGGGCGAGTGAGTAGATCGACCTAGTTCGGAGATGAGTAACTCCTCCACAATTTCAGCGAAAAATTGGGTTGAGCACTGAGTTCGCGGGTTCAAATTCCGCTCGAAGTTCAGATATTACGTCCGCATTTTTCATCCTGTGGTGTGGAGGACTCGTGATGGGCAGACCAGAGGGGAGAGAATTTATTTACTTTGAAAATTGGTGCTGAATTCGAAATGACTGGAAGATTTAATTGTGAAAGAAAAATAAGAATTACACAAATTACAAGGTTCCTCATTACTTAGTTTTCTGCAACCTCCTATCATGTCTTGTACGTATTGTCGTGTATATATCAACGTTTCGCCAAATCTCCAACCAAAAAGAAAACTCTCTACGATCAGCGAACATGCAAACAATTTATGGGTGTTAACACTTCTTGTTTGACTAACTTGATAGCTTGGAATGTAACGTACTTCCTTATCCCCCTAAGCCTACATTGTATCGCCTCTTCTTATTGCGCCTGCGCATAAAAATGTGTAGCGTAAGCCTGAAGGAACTGGCTAACAACACTTACGAAGTACTTGCTGGAGATGGCAGACGTTGCACCATCATCTGATCGCTTCTCCTGCTATAATTCAGAGTTCCACTGAGCCACAAAGTAACGCTTTCTCTTTTATTTGTCAAAATGACATGGTAAACATAACCTCTCTATCACTGACTTACTCCTTATTCTGAGAATATCAGATCAAAGTCTTTCGACAAGAGACCAAGTTTCTCACCCACACAATACAACAGGTAAAACTACAGGCCTACATCTTTATACGAACCTCAGCGTCATCACATAATATCGTTATGTGTATAAAATATTGTTTTCCTCAGTTTTAAATCTGTAAACTGAAAATGATATAAATGGGAGAATAGAGTATACAGTTGCTGAAACACCCTGTAGTACAGCTCACTTACCTTGAGCCTCCGTGCCTCGATGACGGTGACTGACAGTCTGTGCAAATTCTCGTTGTACAGCAATGACACTAAAACCTCACCCAGATCCGAGATCGACTCGTGTGCCTCCTGCAACACGCAACACAGCTCGTCTATAATCATATGAGGGCCAACACAGCGCCATCAGTGGAGATATCCAACCTAACTTATGGAGCTGGGGCCTTCAGATGCCACAAGTTATGCAGCTACTCAAGAACTTCCAAACATTACTGTGTTCACAAGGGCCCTGTACTGGTCCCTATCCTAAGCCAGATCAATCCAGGCCACCACCCCAACGTGTCTCTTTAGGAACAACTTTAATACTATCCACCCACCTACGTCTTGGTCTTCCTGCTGGTCTTTTTACTTCTGGCTTCTCCACCAATATTCTATATGCATTCCTCTTCGCCCCATTCGTGCTACATGCCCTGCCCATATCATCCTCCTTCACTTCACCATTCTAATTATACTTGGAGAAGAGTACAAATTATGATGTTGCTCATATGCAGCTTCCTCCAACCTCCTGTCACTTCATCTCTCTTACTTACTTACTTACTCATGGAGCTGAGCCCTTCTTGAGGAGCCGACAATTCTGCAGTCACTAAAGAATTTCCCAGCATTTTATGGAACCCGAAAGTTCATCACCATATTCACAAGAGCCCTCCACTGGTCCCTATCCTGAGCCAGATATATCCAATCCGTACCATCCCATCCTATCTCTCTAAGATCCATTCTAATATTGTCCATCCACCTACGCCTTGGTCTTCCCAGTGGTCTCTTTCCTTCTGGCTTTCCCACCAATATCCTATACGCATTCCTTGTCTCCCCCACTCGTGCTACCTACCACTACCTACCCACCTCATCCTCCTTGACTTGACCATTCTAATTATACTTGGAGAAGAGTACAAGTTATGAAGCTCCTCATTATGCAGTTTCCTCCAACCTCCTGTCACTTCATCTCTCTTCGGTCCAAATATTCTCGTCAACACCCTCAGTCTATGTTCCTCCCTTAATGCCTTAATGACAGAGACAAAGTTTCACACCCATACAAAACCGCAGGCAAAATTATAGTTTTGTATATTCTAATCTTTACGTTTTTAGACAGCAGAGGAGAAGACAAAAGGTTCTGGACTGAAGGGTAGCAAGCATTACCCGAGTTCAATTTCCTCTTAAGCTCCTCCTGAATCGAATTTTTATTTTTTACTGTAACTCCCAAATAGATTTTGAGCCTTGTATACCATAATCTATAATATGCAGTACACAGTAGACTGACTGACTGACTTTGAGCTGGTTATGGTGTCAGAAGATTCATCATCTCCATATCAGATAAATTCTCCATTGTTGAATGCTTCAGCCAGATCATTACATTTGCGCTTTGTCTAAAACAAATTTTAATATAATAAAACTCTTTGTGAATGTATATACAGGCACCAGAGTCCGACAATTCTCCCGAGAAATCGCTCATCATTTCACGGAAGCACTGTCTAGAAAGCTCACTCTATTTTCCTAGAATCTAGGTGCCCCCTAAGATCTCGTTTTGTGACATTTTTTAAAAATACTAAATATTTTTCTTACCACATTCTTCTCCCACCTTTCTACAAGTTTAAATGTAAATGTACTATGAAGAAAGCAGTCTTCTGGGATTTGGCGCCGTGTATATGTGGTGTTAACCGACGTTTCGGAGGAACGTATCGCCCCCATCTTCAGGGTTGAAGAAAAAGTATAGGTATACTTTTTCTTCAACCCTGAAGATGGGGGCGATACGTTCCTCCGAAACGTCGGTTAACACCACATATACACGGCGCCAAATCCCAGAAGACTGCTTTCTTCATAGTCACCGCCGTGAAAGCCTCAAATCTTACGTAAATGTACTATATTCCGCTCTTGCAGTGCACTATTACGCGCGTTGCTAGGCAACATGGAGATTACTGTGTCTGTCGGAGTGTTTGCACTGCACTGAACAGGTCGGATCACCGCCAATTAGGACCAGTATCGTCCCACATACAAGCAGCATAGGACTGAGATGCACTTGTGGAAGTTCATAACATTTGGCAGTCAGTGTTCGTCCAAATTATGTCAATGAAACATATTATCTCTTGGGATGCAACGCAGTGTAGTCCGGTATACGTCCACTAACGTTTCGAACGAATGTACTGGCTCCATCTTCAGGGTCGGAGAGTAATCCAAGCAAATGACCGAAATGAAGGAAGCAGCAAGAACCAGATCTTGTTTTTTTATTCTTCATGCTGCTTCTTTGCTTGGTTGTCTGGCCTATATTTTAACCCTGAAGATGGATGTAATAAATTACTCCGAAACGTCAGTGAATTTCTACCGCACTGCATGGCGTTATATTTCAGCAGAAAGGATTATTCTCAGTCACCAATTTTACGACATCAAACAAAATTTGTGGTAAACAATATCAAAAGTTTCGGGAGAACTTGCTGTCTCTGTCTTCAGGGTAAATTAACACTTATCAGGATTTTCATTCTTTACCTTTCTCTCCATCGATTTTGTTTTTATCAACTTTCTTCAATTACGGCCTTTCCCTTCAGTTTTCACTTTTACATTATTTTATTTAATTTTTATCCTCATATTTCTTCCATTCCCAAATATTACTCTTTGCTTTATTTCTCAGTTATCTTCATTTTTATATTCTAACTTATATGAGATTAATTTTTCTACTCATTATGTCTCTTTAACCTCTTCGTTTTAAATAATTTCCCATTCTGTACATGGAAACAGTGGGTTCCTTCGAAACATTAGCATCTACCAGATAACATGGCGTCACATCACCAGATAACAGTAATCTACAATCTAATAATATTCAAAACTACAGCCTCACGCATGAGACGCAAATATCTTCCATTCTCCAGGCATGCCACCTTACAAAAAATAAATTTAACACTATTTAATATGTTAGGATAAAGTTTCCCTCCGTACAACTTGTCCGAGTTGCTGTTATGCCGAAGGGCACCCGTTGAAACTATGGCGCCCACCTTCTCTAGGTCCATCTTGTACAGTGTCTGCTCGTTCTCTGCGGGCAAATCCCTCAGGGGGAATGTGACGTAACCAATGACATTCCGACGTTTCGTCTTGCCCGCATCTATCACACTCAGCTTCAGAATGTGGTCACTCATCTCCTTAGACGGTACCTGCAATAAGAAAAATTACCTTGACGCTCTGGCCGTTCTAACCCAAGCAATCCCGTCATTAGCACACAGATGATAATTCACCAGAATCGGTCTGGGACAGCGGTGCAAACACATAACTTCCGGGGTTCGAACAGTGGTCAATTTGCTATGTTTCCACCCCACTTAATAAAGACATAATTATCAGTGTAGTGGAAGGCGGAGTTCCTTGGGAATGTCGCTTCGAATAGACCGATATTACGTGCCCCTAATAGGTATGTTGCTGGCTCATCGTTGAGCGTTGTTGGAAAAACAGTTGTAGCGAAAAGGAAAGTAATTGTACTCAGAGGTCTGCGTCCTTTTACTAGATTTAGTATAGTCCAATGTATTGCTGAACCGGTTTATTTGCTGGCCTGTAAAACAAGCCCTCCTCTTCAACAACGAAATAAACTGACAGCATACCTGAAACACGAAGGTCTCGTCGAAGTAAGGATTGCACGTTTTCTTTTTCTGTTTGGATTGCAGGTAGCGCCTTTCATCGGGAATTAGATGAAGCCTGAAACAAGAGAAGGATACCTCTTCAGATCACACACCTACATTATGTTTCCAGGTATGCAGTATCGTCTCTTTAAGTTTTCCTCTCAGTTTCTCTCGGGGAAAGTCTCCATAAACAAAAAAAAAAAAAAATCGCGACTTTCCTTTTTCTTCTTCATAAAATCATCGTTCCCCCTCGTTGGTGTCTCCACCTTATCGTGGTGAGGGGGTTTGAGTATGCCAAGGACCCTGAGAGCTATACCAGCGGTAGCGTAGCTACTGGCAGGGCCTCCCTTGCTGGACAGGTCAAAGGGTAGGCATCAGACGAAGAGAGACACCAAAAACCAAAAACTGATGCCGGAAGCAGCGTCATCAGCAGCGACTTGAAGCACAGAACAAATGATGCTCGAGATGGTTCAAGTTCGTATAGCAACAGGCGTGACCAGAGTGGTTTGAACGGCTGTTGTACTGCGATGTGGAAAGCAAATGGAAAAACTACCACATTATCACTTTTCCTGGATAGTCTCTTTCCAAAAACAGAAGATCACATTAAGTGGAGGAACTGTTTTGGAAGAGACTGTGGACCTGTCATCTGACAGTTACTGATCAATCAATCAATCTCATCGTTATAAAACTGGAGCTCAATAGAACTATTTAAGTAGACAAAAATCTGAATCAATAAGTTCAGTCATTATAAGAAAAAATTTCAAAATTGAAGAAAGTCATCTTCTGGGATCTGGTGCCGTGTATTCTTTGTTTCAGTCGACGTTTCGGAGGAACGTATCGCCTACATCTTCAGGGCAGGTGAATTGCCTTGCGAATACAGAGAGCAGTAGCGGCTGAAACAAAGAATACATGCGCCAGATCCCAGAAGACGACTTTCTTCATAGTCATCGCCGTGAAAACCTCAAAACTTACATAAATTTCAAAATTGTTCGCCCAACCTATTTTACGGTACAAGAAGTAATGTTATCATATACTTTAGTTTATTTCTTCTTCATTTTCTTGTAGTTTTACATATAACATGTATATTATGGCGTATAGATCCGTTTCTATGCAGCAAAGTCGAAACAAACAAACAACATTTGCTGCTAGATTACAGACTTTAATATGCGAGAATAGACGGTCGCTGCTAGGGAACGTTTCGGTAAAAACGTTCCCGCGACAAGGGATACGCATGCAAACAATAGAGAAACCGTTGGCAATCGTGTTTTCCACTAGGTCCATGGAAAGGAGTTATATAACCAGAACACACTCTAGTATGGAGGCGGACTTAAGTCCCTTGAGGCTCAGCTTACACTGAATGGACGGAAGATCTCCTTCTCCAGTAATGTGGAATACCTGGTTATAATACTCGATAAGAGGGCTGCATGGAGACTGCACGTAGAAATAGTTGAATCCAAGGCCTTGAGAACATTTATTAGAATCTACTTCTTATTCAAAAATGAACGTTTAAGAGCCAACATTAAACTAACCACCGTAGAGCATTCATCATATCCGTAATGACCTATGTTTGCCTCGCCTAGGAATTTGCAACAGACACCCAGTTCTTACAATTGCAGCGCCTAAAACAAAGGTCTCCGCACCATTGAAAATGTTCCAAGGTGCACACCGGTCGGCAATTTTTGCATGCGGGGTTTAAGCTTCCGTATGCATACGATTATATAACAAAATTATGCAGGCGACAAGCATAAGTCATAAAAAATCATGATAATGAACATGTTCGTGGTATGGGGCAATATCAAGCCAGACACAGAAAATATAAGAGGCTTAAACTTGGTGGCGGTCAGGCTTACGACCGTTCAAGTGATAAAGCTGCCGTTGTAGCATAATATAAGTAAGACAGACATGATCTGCTTTGAAAAGCCTGTACTGACAAAGGACTTGTACATAGTGCAAAAGGAAGAATTTACAATAACATGCTATATGTGCTATACGTACACTTGACAAGGTCAAATGTATTCATAAGAGACAAACCCATCCACTCGTCAGAGAGGATGTTACATAAGGACTACTATCGGAAGGGCTCATTTGAAAAAAAAATCTCTGGCCGTGGGTCTCAAGGGTTGATGCCAAGACGAACTGATTGGCTGTAAATCGCCAGTCGCAAAATAACCAAATTTGACTTGAGTGGAGGCGGGGTCGAATACACCCACCGTAGCCTTACGAGTTGTAGGAGGCGACGAAAAGGGAACCCAGTCCCTGGGGGACATAAATACGGGGACCTGGCCCTCCAGACTTCTGAAGTCTGGAATCTGAGAGACGATTCGGATCGTGGAGTGACTGGGCTGGCGAGGACCAACAGCAATTTTAAATAAATGACACATCCTCTCGTACAACACGTGTTACATAAGGACTACAACCGGAAGTGTTCAGTTGAAAACAATGATTATTGTGAGTCTCAAGGGGCCTGGCACCAAGATGAACTGTTTGGCCGTAAATCGCCAGTCGTGGAGTAACTCTGACTCAGGGCGATCAGTTGTCAGCCGAAAGTGTGTGAAAAAAAGACTTTATGTGTGATATTTGAAGTGTGTAATGCAGTGAGTCTGTTACTCCTATATTTATAGTTAATGAGTTAAAATCTGTTGATAGACTGAAAAGAGTTAGCGTCTGATCGAGTGATTGGTGAACTGTGGAAATAAGCGCTAATGTTATAATTATTTGTAGTTACGACCTGCAAGGGCGGCCCGACACCGACTGTCTCAAGACAAGCATCAAGACATGAAAAAAAGAGGCAACCTTGCTTCAATCGTGATTCGTCAGGATGAAGCTGATGTCCGTATCATGACTCAGGCGGATGTGCGGCAGTTTTCATAAACTCATTCGTTTCAACTGTGCTCCTTTCTTTGCGTCATGTCGCAGACATCGTGCCTTGACTGTTACATGTCTTGACGCATGTCGATGTGCGGCCTATCTAAGTGTTCAGTAAATCTAGTATTCAATCCAGGACCCCGTCGAAAGTCACTCATAGAAGCGATAATACGTATATAGCTCACAATAGGAAATCCATGTATATCCTAAGAACTTTAGTCTATATAATAATCTCTAAGAGGAATTTCACGGATTTCAAATATACTTGGTATTATAGGCCGATATTATGTTAATTAGTTAATTAGTAAGATGGATGTTAAGGCCGCGCCATAGCTCAAGCGGTTAGTCGCTGCCTTCCCATCGAGGCGGCCCGGGTTCGATCCCGGGACTGGTCAAGTGGGATTTGTGGTGGACAAAGTGGCGCTGTGGCAGAATTCTCCGAGTACTTCGGTTTCCCCTGCCAATCTTCATTCCACCAATTGCTCCACAATCACCCTCACCTATCACCTGGGGCTGGTACAATAGGCCAGATGTGGCCGCAGTACAAGGGACTTAGTCCCACCCAACTAGCAATAAAAAAAAGACGGATGTTAAGGAAATATTTTATGAGGATGGGAGGTAGATAGAACTGGCTCAGGATCAGCATTAGCAGTAATGAAGCTCTGGTTTCTATAGCCAGTAAAAACTTCTTTTAGATTGGTCTCTCCAGAGAGTTTTGGAACATTCTGGACCCACAGCTCCAATCAGTGAAGCTGTCCACGCTACACTACGCTGTCATTAAGGCAGAGTGCTCGTCAATTTCAGAATGAATCTCGAACGGATTATCGCAGCTACTTTAAAAACAGGTTAAGTCCTACTAAGATGACATCATCTCTCTGGGCATCAGTCGCGCGCAGCTTGGGACGCTGTTGTCTGTGTGTACACTGCTACGTAACGGACAGCTTTGGTTCATTATTCCAGGACGCCCCGCTTGCTTACAGATAGCTTCAAATGAATGTCCTGTCTGTGGAGAATCCTAGAAAATCTTAGTGTAGGAGGCCAGGAAAGTCATTTGGAGTTTATGGTTTCTCAAGAGCTATAGGGATACTCATAAATCTGTAATCGCTGTAATGTGGTGTAAATATCGTATTTCTTGGGGATTTGGAGGAAAGTGTCCTATGAATGTAAACTCTTTAATTTCAGCTTCTTTATATATGTACATGTTCCGTGAAAAAGGATGCATCTTCGTTATTATTAAGTTGTGGGTACTTGAAATGTGACCTCCAATGTAAAAGGCTTATGTATATTTCTCAAATTCATTGCCTGGGATTCTGCTTATATCAGTTGACTTTCCTGGTGTACTTTTTAGGAAATTCTATTCAATTACCTCGTAATCTGATCTTTTTAAAATGAAAATTTCTTCGTGCATTTGGATCAATTTAATTTTTTTAATCAGAGCTATCTTCCTTTAACAGCACAGGAATATGTCACGACCACTTCCTTTCAGACTTGTTACTTTCAATCGTCACACTACTCCTTGTTCTCCGGGGCTGATGTGGTGACCAGTAAGCGACTCTGCGCCATCTCTGCCCTGACTACACACTGCTTATTCAGTAAATAGGGAATAACAATAACTGTTTTCGAGGCCCACCGTTGGTGGTTGGGCGTCACTTACTTGTGTTGTCGTCTCGTCGCTGGCTGCTGAAGCTGCTGCTGGTGGGTTGCGGCTACAGCCTGCTTAACTCTGCTCACCCATCATCCTTACCACCTCTTCTTCTGGTTGTCAGGTAATTAGTAAAGTGTTGGGCACAAGTAAACTTATTGGAATTCGTTTACAATTTGGGTGGAGAAGGGGGTAAGAATTGATAAGGAGATGCTTGTGGTGATGTGCTAGTTCAAGTTATAGAGGTGAGAAATCAGTCCCCAGGGCGTTTAGCAGGGTCTCGCTCGGACGGAGAGGGGACTCTTTCTACTATGTAAGCAATACTTGTCGACAGAGACACTTTATTGCGATGTTAATCAGTAATGAGGCATGCACTGTCTTCGCTCGCTCGGAAACCGGGATCGTGGGTTCGAATCCCACTCAGGACATGTTTAGTTTGTGTGCGTCTTTTTGTGTTTGTGTACAGGTAGAGGCCTTGCGACGAGCTGATCACCTTCCTAAGGATTCCTACCAAATGTGTAAGATCTAGAAAAACCGAAGTGAACGCAGAAGTTCGTGGAGGTAGACCTAGGCCCACTAGGACTGTACTGTCAGGGGGAAAACAAGAAAATAAAAAATCACTGGTGCACAGTCAACTAGATTATACGTGTTCCTTTATGTAGGACTCGCACTGGTGCCTGTAGAATTACTTACACATCTTTCTTAAGTTTCCAAATGGATTTGGGATATACTAAATTTTACTTCAAGCTGAACAGTCAGCTACTGGTTACACTCACAATTATCATAACCACTTACGCAATCTCACCTAACAGAATTTATAGTCACACTTACGGTGATACAGTTTTGCGTCCGAACATTTGGTGAGCTGGAATACGACTAACAGAATGACTTCTCAAAACTAGAAGTCCCGACTGCTTCATATCAGCTCACAAGTCACCTCCTTAAATTTCGAGAATTCGTCAAATTTGAACAAGAGGAGTTTACTTCATTTCCTATTCCTCCAACCAGTTCTAAAATTCAAGGGAATTTGGACTCTAATGACTTAACGTAACTTTTGACAGTCGTTTGATGAATTCTACCCGTAGCGTGGGCTCTGGGCCTTCCCACTTTTGACGTAGGGTGTCCTGGACCCGTCAGAGATCATATTCCCAAAGAATTCCGACGAGCAAATTTTGAGTAGAATTTCTAGGAAAAAACAATAGGGGTCCTTCCTGTTTCTCTTTGAAGTTATGTAACGAGCCGCTTTCTTAATTTCAAGAATCGGACAAAGTTGCCGTCTTGAGAGTAAGAATTGGCCTATGTCCCTCTTGGATAATTATTGTTCATACAAGTAAATATCATCTAACAAGGCGATCAAAAGTAGTAAATACATGTAAAAGTAAAAGCAAGTAAGTAAAGCTAACCCTGTAACAGGCCTTGAAGGTCCATTGGGTTGTGAGACGTTGAGGGTCCCACATTTTCTAGACAATCGGCTCAAAGATGGCAGTAAGGTTGTCAGCCTTACGCACCGGCCGCGCTTTACTCCCCAGGAAAATTATTTAATTAAATCCTGGTACTCATTTCTGTTAGAGGCTGAGTAAACCCCAGGGCCTAGTGCGGCTGGAAGGATTAGGTGAACTGAAAAAAATTCAATGACCTCATCGGGACTTGTTAGTTAGTTAGTTAGTTAGTTAGTCAGTTAGTTAGTTATGAAAGAATTTGGCAGGGTCATAGCTCAGGCATTTTATTCGTCGGTTTTCCACGGCGTCGGCTCGGGTTCGTTCCCGGTTTAGCCCATGTGGGATATGTGATGGACAAAATGACACTAGGCCAGATTTTCTCCGTGTACTTCCCATTTTCCTTGTCACTAATCATTTCAGCAACAGCTCCACACCCATTAATCATCCCGCCGTCAAAGCTACGTAATTTCAGCACCAGTTGAGTCGTTAAGGATTCAACTTTAAAAAGAAACCTTAGACAGGGATCGATATCAGAGTATGAATGGCAGGTGCCAGGGCGAGGCAGGGGACGAAGCAGCACTGCAAAACACACGCGAATCTCCAGACTGACTAAGAGTACTGCCTAAGCTTCACAAGAGCAGGCGTGAAATCGTTTTCAGATATCTCCTAATATATCCAGTCTAGGGCGATGCTGTAACCTTCATTAGATTCTTGAATGTGTGCAGATAATGAAGGTTTTACAGAATTTTATGCAGGTGGTCTGAGTTCGAGTTCATAGGGCTACAAATTGAAAAATATTTTTGGTTTAGTTTGCCTTCCGCTATGGAACAACGTCATACTCATGGAGCTGAGCCCTTCTGGAGGAGCCGCCAATTGTGCAGCTACTCAAGAATTTCCCAGCATTTTATGGAACCCGAAGGTTCATTACCGTGTTCACAATAGCCCTCCAATTCCGTATTCCGTATTGATGGGGTGGGTTTCCCCATGCACTTAGACCGGTTACTGGTCCATTGTGCGTCCCCCTTTAATTTCTACTGTCTCCATACCCTACAGGTACTGGTGCTTGTGCTTACTATCAGTCCCTTTCTGCCAGCGACGTTCCAACCTCTTACTGGCAGTGGTATCAAATAGTTAGTCCCTTTCTGTCAGCGAGGTCGTCCTTCCTCTGGCAGGGGTTCCTAGTCCCTTTCTGCCAGCAAGGTTTCTACCCTCTACTTGGCAGTGGTATCTAATACTTTAGTCCCTTTCTGTGAGAGAGGTCCCCCCTCCTCTGGCAGTGGTACCTGATACTTCCCCCATCTACCGGAGGAATTGGAAACTAGTTGGGCGGGAAACTTGGCCTAATTTTGCTCAGAGGTCTCCTAGAGACATGAGGTTCTTTTACGTGCCGTAAATCTACGACACGGGACCCACGGCTTAAAGTCCTTCCCGGAGGACTTGTTCCCTCAATTTTTCCGCCCTTAAAAATTCCACGACCTCCGCCGGGTTTTTGAACCCGCGTACCTTGAGTCATGAGGTGGGAACGTTACCCCTAGACTACTGAGGCCGCTTAGCACTCCAATGGGCTCTATTCTGAGCCAGATCAATCCAATCCATACCACACCATCCTATCTCTCTAAGATCCAATTTAATGTTGTTCACCCACCTACTCCTTGGTCTTCCAAATGGGCCCTTTCCCACTAATATACATTATGCAACAATGTCAAGGTTTAAAATTACATTCTTTTTTAAAATTCGCCACTGCACTATCTTTCGAACTGCTTGGCCTCCATCAGATGTACTGAAATTCTGGAAACTGCCGTGCCTTCCGCGCTACTGCACTCCGTCTTTTCGAATTTACTGTGTTTCTACATGCTGTGTCACGTGTATTTTGTTTTTTGGAATGTCTGTTGTCTATCTAGTCTGCAGTGTTGATGATAAACAAACAACGGTAAACAGGAGCAAACATAATTAATAATACCAACTGCAGAAGGTTGCTAAAATACAGTATTAATATAACAAATTAATCTGGAGTAGGTCCTCCGTTAAAAGAGCGACATGATCTGTGAACGGACATAAAGCAGGTCTACGTATTGCAACTGTTCTCTTACCTTACAAAGGGATCACAACTGTTCACCGTCCCCACCGTTCGGCTAGGAAGGTTCTTGGCTTTCAGGAGAGACACAAGCAGCTTCTCTGTAGCGGGCTCGTAGCGCAGAGAGAACCAGATGCGGCCCAGATGTCCGTCCGGGAACTGAAGCTCTTCCTCCAAGTCCAGAGTGTCTCTATACAAAGCAGGATCAATCGCCCCCAGTCCATAGCAACCTGCATAAAAATGTTCTCAGGTAGAGCAACACAGTTCATTCATGTCTGTCCATGAAAATTGCCACATTCTGTAGAATATCAAGGAAATTGGCATTAGACTAAACCTTTACTAATCCCGATTAATTGGAGTGACAGTTGATTATGATTAAGTGATAATCCGGATTAGTGAACTAAATATATTTTTTATTGCTAGTGGAGTGGGACTAATCCCTTGTACTGTGGCCACTTCTGGCCTATTGTACCAGCCCAAGATGATAGGTGAGGGTGATTGTGGAGCAATTGTTGGAATGAAGATTGACAGGGGAAACCGAAGTACTCGGAGAAAACCTGCCCCAGCGCCACTTTGTCCACCACATATCCCTCTTGACCAGACCCGGAATCGAACCCGGGCTTGAGCTATGCCGCGTCCTGAACCAAACGTAGCTATGAAAGACAAAAACACTTAAAACAAAAATAAATGGAAAATTTAATGATATTTAGCAGAGGGATGAATAGAAATAAAAAAGTAGAGCTTTTGTTTAAAAACTATAAAAAGACAATATATTTATTCATATACTCCGAAGTTATATTTCTTTTGGTACGTAATAGTGCCAGTTTGAAGAAACTTTCACGATTTGTCTGAACAGACAAGTGAATCGTCTGCCTTCCTAAATGCCATGTGTTTTTGAAGTATGTACTCAACTGTGAATATCGTTTTCCATATTTCGATCCGGATTAACTGTAACTGGATTTACTAAAACCGGATTAGCGAGGGATTACTGTATTAATATAAATGAATCGTTTGGTTTAAACCTCGGCCTCGAGCTGGCTGTCCTGACACATAATTCGTGGGTTTCTTCACACCCTTCAGGAAGGAGCCTAGTTGCTGCCTTAAATAAGATATGATCTTCTAGTATCCTTTGAAACGTATCATCATAAATCAGCATTCAGTAAGAAATTAATGTCAGATACAGTGCATCCAGTTGATAAAACGTCGTTGAGTAATAAAAATGCTACGTGGTCGCTCCATAGCTCAAGCGATTAGTCGCTGACTTCCCATCGCGCGACCCGGGTTCGATCCCGGGTCGGGTCAAGTGGGATTTGTTGTGGACAAAGTGGTGCTGGGGCGGGTTTTCTCCGAGTACTTCGGTTTCCCTTGCCAATCTTCACTCCACCAAATTCTCCATCATCATAATCACCCGGGGCAGTCTACAATAGGCTAATCAGTGGCCACCGTGCCGAGTGGACCCAGTTGGATTCCACCCCCCACTAAGCGAATTAAAAAATATTAATTAATTAAAAATAAAAATGCTAAGAAAATAAAATAAAAATGATTGCTTGATAATGCGACTTTCCCGTTTCTGTTCACATCTGCCATTATCAGGAGAGAGGGAAGAAAGTGGAAGGTCGATGCATCGAGAAGTGTGACATGGCAATAAGTTACCATGACAACGTCTACTGTATCTTGATCGAATGCGTCGTATTTTACAGTTGATATACGACAATCGATTTAAAAATAACGCGGAGTATTAAACTGTTTCATTGCTTGTTTTATGGGTCGTAGGAGGCATGGGTGTTATTTCTTAGACATGTGATACAGGAGGTTTCGCAACGAAAGTGTCCATTAAACAAGGGATTTTTAACACAGATTTAGTGCATATACATGAGCTAGAAATATTAGCATTTTATGTTTACTATTTCCCGTTGTAATTGTGACAGTGTGGTGATGTATGAAGTGATACTGAGGTCGTCTTATCTGACCTAGTTACAGCACAGTAACTCGTTGAAAATCATGTCAGTTATAAGATTTCAAGTACACCAACACTGGTTTGTGTCCTAAATAACGTTGATGGGAATTATAATTGAGTACTAATTCTTTTTGCAGTACATTTATTATTATTATTATTATTATTATTATTATTATTATATTTTGAATTTTTCCTTCACCCTTTATTCTCAATGTTAATAGCGTACACAGACACATGTTGTAAAGGTGCACACAGATAAAAGTACTTGAATGCAATAAGTAATAAAAGTTAATTAACGACAAAAATATTACACTCCAGGGAGGCATAAATTACATTCTATTTCATGTTCTTGTTTGTAACAGGGAACAACGGAAAATTTTCCAATCGAAAATTAGCTCAGTGTCCTACTGTTCTGTATGTGTTTCATGACCTGTGTATGTAATTTCAAATTTCATCACGGGAGATCTGAATTGTATTGCAAAGTATGGGATATATTGATCTGATAATTGTAGTGCTCAAATAGTAACAAGAAACATAAAAGCTATCCCTGTAACAGACAGTCGAGGCTCTCACACTTTCTAGACAATCGGCTCACAGATGGCGGTGAGGTTGTCAGCCTACGCGCCATCCGCCCTTTACCCTCCAGAAAGATTCCTGGTATTCATTTCTGTTAGAGGTTGAGTTGACTCTAGGGCCATAGTGCGGCTGGAAGGATTAGGTCAATTGAAATTTCAGTGACTGGCACTAGATAAAAGTGTGTGGTCAGCTGAATATTACGACCGTATTATCCACAGAAATACAGACAATGTTTCCCGCTTCACAGGAGCCTGGGTTAGCCTAATTGCTAGCCTCCCTGAGCAGTAGACAAATTAGTGCCTTCACCAGGAATCGAATCCCGGCTCCCAGACCTTCTAGCTTACAATGTAGTCAATAGATTGACTTGGGGCACGCGGTAGAATAGTTGGTTGAGGCACTATGCTAAAATCCGGAAAGTCCGGGAATTGAATCAATGATGTCATTGAATTTTTTTAATTGACCTAATCCTTCCAGCCACACTGTCTCTGCGGTCGATTTTGCCTCTAACAGAAATAAGTACCAGGAACTTCCTGGAGGGTAAAGGGCGGAAGGCGTGTAAGACTGACAACCTTACCACCATCTATGAGTCGATTGTCTAGAAAATGTATGAGCCTCGGCGTCTCACAACTATTTGGGCCTCCGAGGCTTGTTACAGAGATAGCTTTACATTTTTTTCACATTCACCTATAGTGACTTAGCTGTCCCAGTTTACATTTTTGCCCCGTGATAACCAAAATACAATTCTCCCAGCAATATTCAGTGGACTTCCAACATGACGTACTTTCGAAATCAACTAAAGAATTTGGGGGATAAAAGATGGAGTTAGAAACACATGGCCAATACGGGGTTTATATTTTATGTGTTATTTATGACGCTCTCAGTAGCTAGCGTGTACGACGTCGAATTATAGAGCCGTACATGTAGATGGAATGAGAAGGATTTGGACGCAAGGGTCGTGTCCCAACTGAGGTACCACTCCGGCATTTGTCTGGAGGGTCTGATGAAAACCACGGGAGACAAGATAACCAAGTGACGGGCGAAACTCGAACCTACTCAGTGAACCGTTTAAGACGGGGATCCGGATTATGGAAAGCAGTACTGACAACCGTTCAACGATTGCCATTAATTTATAGCCGGTTAACAACACACGCATTGGAAATGGTTATGTGGTACAGGAGCTCCTGAGATGTGGCACCATGAAGCCTGGTAATATTTTACCGACATATCGGAGGAACTATCTTCAAGAAAGCAGTCTTTTGGGATTTGGCACCGTGTATATGTGGTGTTAACCGACGTTTCGGAGGAACGTATCGCCTCCATCTTCAGGGTAGAAGAAAAATATATATAAGAAATCTGCAAGCGAAGAGACCGTGAGAACCGGTAAAAGCAGACTGGTCTGCTGGTTCCTCCGAAACGTCGGTTAACACCACATATACACGGTTCCAAATCCCAGAAGACTGCTTTCTTCATAGTCACCGCCGTGAAAGCCTCAAATCTCACAACTATCTTCAAGTTTGAATTCGGAAAATAAACCAAGCAAGTAGTAGATAGTCCGTTCATCCATCGTCAGTAAACTATTACCACACCACACGGTGTCACACTCAACATGATATGTTTCCACGGAGGTCACCATGAACAATGTTAACACCTCACGATTACCGACCTGTATTGATTAGATCATATTGAGACTGCATCAGGGATATGAACTCATGTCTCAAGATTTCTTATTTCTAACAATAAGTTCTGGGCGGAACTAATAGCCTACATTCATTTTATGTAACTCAGACTGCACAGAAAACGACGCATCGAACTTTTCGCCTATTTTTTCGTTTGCATTCGTTGTCCGCCGTAACCTGGCAACGTTAGCGGGATAAACATACAGACCGATGGAAGTGATTTATGGAGTAAGCTGTTGAGATCGGCTCAGGTGCCATGAAATACATACCAATTTTCATCAAACATTGATTCAACCATTCAAAAGTTGACAAAATTGGATACGCAGACAGACAGCATGATGATAGCATCAGCCTACTGTTATTTTTTTTTTAAAAATAAGGAAAGTAGACTAAAACAGCCCCTGTGAGGACAGAATATCTCTGACGGAGTCTAAAGGCTTTTGTTTTATACCATTATCTCCCTTTAGCCACTGAATACTTGGTAACAGCGATGGTATTCCATTCAGTCTTACCAAATTAGAAAACGCCAATTCCTGATGAATACACTGCATTAAGGTTAACTTTAGAGCGAAGATAAGAAAATAATGAGGTTTTTAAACCGCCCTATAATTCCATTTTCTTCTTTCCCTCCTGTACTATGAAGACCTTACTGCCTTAGCGAAACACTCGAGAACTAAGAGAAACGCCTACGCAACGCTAAACCCTTGACAGTTTTACTTCCAACACAGAATGACCTAGTTTGTCAGAAACAAAACCTTGCCCGTGTAAGGTCCCCTGGGACTGTAGGCAATCTGCACACTATTGTATCGCTGATTCTGTTACACGCTTCTGTCGCCTTAGAGACAACCAAATTAAGGCAATTGAGCCTGAGTCGTCTTGGAAGAGATATGGGAACCTAGAACAGTATTTGTCGTGAGGGATCATGGGAAATAATTTAATTGCGAAGAAACACGGTCTGTACCAGTGAATCTGATGAATGCGTCTGTTTGTGACGATGCAGTGTTACAGATGCCAACTGTGCTCCTATCACAGTTCACTCACACACACTCACATCAAGTCACATGAATTACCTTTACGTTTCAGTTCCAAAGTGTGGAAGCCTTCTCTTCAACTTCAATATCGTTCTCTCTCCTCTGTTATTCCATTCGCTTCATCATCCTATTTTTCTTTTCTTCGTATCCCTTTTTCTCCTCTGTCTTCTGCCACTGCCCTGAGCGAATCTGCCCTATACAAACTTCGTACATTCCAAGTGCCAAATCTCATATCCATTTTCTTTAGCTTAGGTCGTTTATTCAAGGAATCCGTCGGGTCCGAGGCTTCTTGAGAATTTTTGTAATAAGTTTATTGTTTACAGTGAGGAGTTGTTAGCTCCACGCCCAACCCCCAATCCGGAGGACCACCCCTTGTCGGCTGTCTGGAACTGCTTATTCAATATATTCGCAGCTTCCTTCCATGCCTGGAGGGCGTCTCCTCCAATCGCAACCTGAGAACCCGCCATGCCCTTGTGACAGGAACCCACCTAACATGGTCTTGAAATATATGCCACCCGAAAATATATAAAATGTTCCACAGTTTATTTAATAAATTCTCCAGGTTGGTAGCCTTGAGGGTAACTTACTAAATGAGTTGGAGCGCTGAGTATGAGCGGCGGAGGCGGGCACTAACGAGTCAGTATCTTGGTCTGAGTCTGCGTCGTTGTCTCCGGGAAGCAAATCACCCAGGGAAGAAGCATGCCGCAACGTCGGAAGGGAGAAGCGGATCTCCTTTGTACTACAACAATCACAAGAATAGTAATAATATCAAAAACATTGCTAACAATATTATCAACAACAGTTGACAATAATTATGACATAATAATATAATAATTATATAATTATGACAACAATGTTGTCAAGGAAAACAAAACGCTGGTAATATTATCAGATGTATTCCACGATCTATAGAAAAAATGCATTCATTTTTTAATTTTTAAAATATGTGGAATGAAGGCCCATAGGTACAATTTTAAGGGATTTAAATATTTCAGATGTCAGTTTATTGTGAACAATACAACGCAAGAAAACCATAAAGAGTATACTTGGCAAAGCTAATCAGATAGAAAGACATCACACTTCATAACTAGTAAATTATTTTCCTTGCACTTAGCTGAGTCTTCACAATATCAATAGCGCAACACGTCACAATATTGTCACGTGAGGGAATGTGACTATAGATGGTGCTTGGATTGATGATCGGATTGACTGAACTCCGTGCTACAGCGCGTGACTACACTTTACATTTCACTGTTTTATATATATATACACACCTCACCCTCCGCAGTCACGTCATCACTGTCGTTGCCTAGCAACGGCTGTTTACTCGTCGTTGTTAAGCAATGAAGCTTGCGTTGTCACACTTGCTTGAATGTGGGCAGTTCCCACAATCGGCTTCCAATGGCGAAGGTTCCCCTTCCTGTTAGTTCGCGAACTGTCTCCGGCCTCAACTACCAGCATCTTACATCAACAGCTCACAATGACTGAATTCTAGTGATTTCTAACTAACTTACTAATTCACCAACCATCTCACTGACTTCACACTTGTCCTGCTTACAACATCTCGGCACGGATCGCGTAGAAGACATCGATCCTCTGTTGTGGTGCAATTGTTGCCGTGGACTTATGCTCGTTTACGGAGCCGTTACTTAGCAACGGCTGTTGTACAGTTACTTATTTCGCGGTCGATGCCTAACAAATGCTCTACATGCCATAATATTATTGTGGTTAAGTTAGGGAGCAGTTGCGAATATGTGCAGAACATTATATTACTGAAAGTTATGCTTGGATAAGCCTAAATAATGGCAAAGCTTCCTCGTAATCTGTCAAGGTCAGAATCTTCTGTTCTAGAACTGCTCACGTTATAGAGGTTTCGTACGTTTAACAAGTGGGGTTTTGACAGTACCTCATTGTTCCTTTCGAAATACAAAGTTGTGGCTCCTTTTTTATGGTCCTCTCAACGGCTTTGGAAAAATGTATTGGCTTCGTGCAATTTACCGAAAGACTTAACCTATGGGCAACACACTATAATTGTCTTCAGGAGGTCCTCGGCTGGAATCTTGGCTGAGGCACCAGATAATATGATGTTCTTGTGGTATTCCCAGTCTTCCCTGAAAAATTCTCGGAACATATCTCTATTGGACCAAGGCAGTTTCCTTCCAAATCCTTAAATTCATTATTCACTACTATTCTACCATTCCAAACTGCACAATCCAGCTGCTGTTAGGGCCATAAAACACACCCTCCTGTCCCCGGAGTGGGACATATTTGTTGAGTATGTGCAACGTCAGTCTCATGTAATGTAAGTAAAGTAAAAAAAGAAAGTAAAGCTATCCCTGTAACAGTACGTGAAGGCCCATAGGGTTGTGAGACGTCGAGGCTCCCACACTATCTAGACAAACAGCTCAAAGATGGCGGTAAGGTTGTCAGCCTTACGCGCCGGCCGCGCTTTACTCCCCAGGAAATTTATTTAATTAATTCCTGGTACTCATTTCTGTTAGAGGCTGAGTAAACCCCAGGGCCTAGTGTAGCTGGTAGGATTAGGTGAATTGAAGAAAGATCCAATAACCTCATCGGGACTTGAACCCGCGACCTTCCGACTTGTTGCACGGTGCTTCAACCAACTACGCTACCGCATGCCCCCGCTCATGTAATGTAGGGAAACCAATTGGAATTATTGCCTGAAATTTTTACTTTATGATTTAATCTTAATCTTTCAAGATCCTTCCTTCGAGGCCTCCCACTACCACATCGTAGCTGCTTACATCAATTGCTCACTTAGCCGCGTGGACGCCAATGTGTAATGTCCTTTTCCACGAAATCAGACTCTGTTCGCCGTGCTGCATCGGCAACTTCTCCAACAATACTATGCAATACTATACAATACTATACTCCACCTTATCGTGGTGAGGGGGTTTGAGTATGCCAAGGACCCTGAGAGCTATACCAGCGGTAGCGTAGCTACTGGCAGGGCCTCCCTTGCTGGACAGGTCAAAGGGTAGGCATCAGACGAAGAGAGACACCAAAAACTGACGTCGGAAGCAGCGTCATCAGCAGCGACTTGAAGCACAGAGCAAATGATGCTCGAGATGGTTCAAGTTCGTATAGCAACAGGCGTGACCAGAGTGGTTTGAACGGCTGTTGTACTGCGATGTGGAAAGCAAATGGAAAAACTACCACATTATCACTTTTCCTGGATAGTCTCTTTCCAAAAACAGAAGATCGCATTAAGTGGAGAAACTGTTTTGGAAGAGACTGTGGACCTGTCGTCTGACAGATTACTGATGATGATGATGATGATGTATGCAGCTGCTTTGTAGGAGGGAGGGTGACGCACCGTAACACAGGCCCAGTTATAACACATACACACCCTTACTTAATCAATTGAGCTGAGACCTTCTTGAGCAACTTCCACTCAAGAACTTTTCAGAATTTTATGGAGCCCCAAGGTTTATTACTGTGTTCACAAGAACCTTCCTCTGGTCCCTATCCTGAGCCAGATCGATCCAGTCCACACCACCCAATTCTATCTCCCTAAGATCCATTTCATTATTATCCTCCAGCCCACGCCTGTCTTTTTTTTTAATTCGCTAGTGGGGGGTGGAGTCCAGTTGGGTCCACTCTGGCCACTGATTGACCTATTGTAGCCCGCCCAGGGTGATTGTGATGATGGAGAATTTGGTGCACTGAAGATTGGCAGGGGAAACCAAAGTAGTCGGAGAATACGTGCCCCAGGGCCACTTTGTCCACCACAAATCCCACTTGACCAGACCCGGGATCGAACCCGGGCCACCGCGTTGGGTAGCCAGCGACTAACCGCTTGAGCTTCCGTAATGCCAGAGACCAAGTTCCACACCCCTACAGAACCACAGGCAAAATTATACTTTTATATACACGTATTATAATATTTGCTTCTTTATAGAAAACCCTGTCATACACGTTACAGATCTTATCTCTGTCAGTTTACGTGGCGAAACACAATTGGGTTTCTGCTGAGAACGGCAAGGTCTGCAGACATCTATAACACAAAACAACTTACCAACTCCTGATGTATACGGGGTTCAATTAGAGCCTGACAATAAACATGAACAAATGAGTGCAGTAAACTCTCGTTAATCCAGTTACGGTTAATCCGGATGTCGGATAGTCCAGATCGAAATATGAAAAAATGAGAAATTCTGTTCACAGTTGGGTACGTACTTCAAAAGACACGTGGGATGTATTTTAGGAAACCGACCCCTAACAATAAACATGAAATGAGTGCAGTAAACTCTTGTTAATCCTTCATTGATTTTTCATCTCCCTTTCAATTCTATTCTCCTCCTTTCTCATCCTCCTCTTTCTCATTTCCTTCCTCAAACTCTTCCTCGAGTTCTTCTTTTCCTTCCACGAGGCCGGGATAGCTCAGTCAATATAGTGACAAGGATATGCGCAGGAAAACCAAGGATTTGGTGTTCGGGTCTCGGGTGGTGGGCAAATCCCCGAGATGAAAGCGGCTCGGGCGTGAAGCTGAAAATTCACTTTCTTCTAGTGCCGAAATCAAGAATGCGTGGAGTTATATCTCCATTTCATTTTCTCTACATAATCCAGTACTTCACTGTGTTACTGAATAGACGGCGTTATGTTCCAGTGACGTAATAAGTTCTCGCAAGATTGTTTTCAAACAGATAATGTTGTGATGTCTCACATTGACTCATTTTTAGCCAACCTTATACGTATATACAGCAGCTCCACAAAAACATGACACGGCCGTTTCCCTCCCGTTCTCCTACTTCAGTCATCAATGAGCGATTTAGCACTGTCTTCTTCCTAATGCACATAATATTGTGACATGTTGACCCCTACCTCCCCAGCGGTACGTGGCGGTAACGTAACGCTCGCGTTATTACGGTAATAGGCGAGTTCCCGCCCCGCCACTCCCCTCCGCGGTGACGTCACCGAGGGATATCGCGGTCGCTAGGCAACGCGAGTCAACAGCGGCGACGTTACGATAGTAACAGCGGTTACCTCCGCTAGCGTTACATAGCAACACAGCGCCAGGCAAGAAGGGTGCCTTGCCT